TCGGTGTAGACTATGTGGTTGGGATCCGCGAGGCGATAGCAACTGATACCTAGAGACCTTGAATGATATGACATGCATCCACTCTTCGTGATCTCTCAAATTCTAGTCTTCTGAATTATTCATGTTTCCTTTTTTTCCTCTTTCCAAACCTGTTTCACTGGATTATACTCCTTGAATAACAGTTTCAAACCTTAATCTTTCTAATTATTGCTTATACTTTTACTACCTCTACCACTATGGAATTTGAGTCGACAATTGTATCTGTGTGCTAACGTGGTATGGCAACTTGAACTGATGTACGTACGTATGAAGTTCTACGTTGTTGCTGACTGACTGATTGACTGATATATATATATACCCATTGATGTTTAAGATTTTGATTGATCAGTTTCCTTTAGGATATATGGATTCTGTGCAGATTTTCTAGATATTGCCATTAAGTCACAAAAATTAGAAATGGATGATAGCGAGAAATGGTGTTGAAGATGTGCAGTTCTTCCTATTTGAGACTAATCAGCTGAATATACCTGTATTTTAGAGTTGATATTCACCTCGGGAAGCATGCATCCTTGATTCTACTGTTAACTATTATCCATATCTGCTCATAATATATATGTTTGTATAGTTCAAAATCATATTAGAAGGTCTTTCGATGCCACTTCATTTCTTGGTTAGATTTGTGTACATAGAAGAATTCCCCAAAGTGAACTTGTTTAAATTTAATAATCAATATAGTGTCTGAAGAGATTACGAGTTCACCTAATCTGAGAACGGCACAAAAACTCTGTGATACAATAACCAATAAGCTAGCTATTCTGATACCTCCCAGTGTCTCACTAACTAGAAAGAGAATTCCAAGTTCGAAGGAGGGAAATATATTTCACAAGCAATCAGAAGCACCAACAACAGCAACAATAAACACAAAACAAGCGTATATACACAACATAAAAGTGTCCTTGGAGGACGGTACAAAATAAAATACTAAAAGTGATAACAAACAAATTAAAGGATTTAAGTTCCTCTCAAGTGGGAAACACGGTATGAAGGTGAAAATGAACGCTTTTGGGGCGAAAGCAAGAAATTCAAATTGTTAAGATAGAATTAAAAAAATAAGGTGTTTACCAAATGAGTTCTGGAGATCTAACATCCCCAACATATAGGGAATCTATAATCGCGGGCGAGACTGTTAGGTCCTGAGCTCGAGTCCAGGGCGGGCGGGATCGTGGATGCGCACTGCTGAGGAGTCTTATACTAGGACGAAATGGTCATCCAGTACTTCCCGGTTTTCCATGATGGTCTAGCTTCAATTGATTCATGATCTCAACTATTAAATTAAACTGTTGAATGTTTTGCATTTATCATTGGACATACTCAATGATGAATACTTCAGGATGTGTTCGAAAACATTGAGGGGTCTTAAAAAGTTATTTTTTCCTTGATGCATTCATGAACCAATTGTTAATTACAAAAATAAACCCATTTGAAGTTCGATCCGAAAGAATGTATTCTACAATGTTCTTTAAGTTTGATTGGTTAGAATATCCACATCAAGTTCAATGTTCACAAACAAAATCTCTAACATGATAATGACATAAATTCTTTGAAAGACTTTTTGTTTACATTTCAAATTTCCTCTCATTCATCTTCAATTATGCGATCAATGAGAAAAATTCACTTGGTATTGTTTACTTGAATCTTCCCATTGATGTTTAGGACTGCAATTGATCAGTCTCTCTCTCCCTTATTGGTATAAGCAAGTGACTGTCAGGACTCAGTAGCTAAGTGGATAACGCGATGATGTTTGAAGAGACCGGTATTTGTTTCAAGTCCCAACGTGAACGCCAACTTAGAGAGTCAGGTATATCCAACTGGATTCCACTACTAGTCACTATCTGTCTTTGCTTATGTGAAGGTATGTTTGTTGTCTCCTATTTTTTCCACATAAATAAAGGTTGCACCTACTAACTATCTTTTTTTAACCTCCTGTAATTGGAAAGTATCTCTCTCTGTTCTTATTTGATCAAAATTTGGAGCCTTACCATTATGTAAACTTAACAGAATGGATCAATTAGAAACAAAGAAACGTTAGAATGATTTAGTCAAATCTGTCTACAGTTTAATTTGTGTTATATACTAACTTGCTATGAGGAAGTAAGAAACACAATGGACGGCTTGGATGCAGATGAACTATGTGAACTTGTTAGATGACCCATACACATCAACAGAAGCAGACGAAGACAATCAGTGTAGTAGCAGTCTCTGCATCAGTAGACCTAAACGTACACCACGGAAAAGCAAGATCTTGAAATACAACACGGACAACACTAATCCAATCACACTTGATAGAGAAGCTCTGGAACATGTTGAAAACTTCACGTACATGGACAGCATCATCGATTAATAAAGAGGATTTGATGAGTATGTGAAGGCACAGATTAGCAAAGCAAGAACATCATTTCTACAGTTGCAGAATATATGTCTTCTGTGGATAGTGGTTTCATACTTGACATAGTTGAAATGCATTAATCACAAGTTCTGACAGAAGCTCAGAGTTATCACCAGTAAACACATAATCCTTTCAAAAGTAAACATTTCATTGATTCAAATTCACTTGTTATTGTTTACTCGGATCTCCCCATTGTTATTTAGAATTGCAGTTGATCAGTCCCTTATTGACATATATGCATACTGTGCGCATAGCCCAGATATTGCCTTAATTCACAAGTATTCTAAGCAAAAATGGATAGTGGTTAGCAGTGGAATACATAATGCATATTTCGTTCTATTTGGGACTCGTCAGCTAGATGTACCTACATCTCAGAGTTGATGTTCACTCTATAAATCGAACTCAGTACTGTTGGTTTCAGGACTCAGTAACTAATTAGATAACATAATATCATTTGAAGCGAATATTACTGAGTTCGAGTCCCATAGTGAACATCAACTCCAGGATATAGGTACTTCCAACTGAAGAGTCCCAAACAGGACGAAAATCTCATCCTAACTTCGATTGCTAACCATTATTCATCTTTACTTATTTTCATTGATTCATAGACAAATTGTAAAAGTAAAATTTATTGGAGGGAAAAAACTAATCATGTTCAAACCTTATCTTAATAGTTGAGATCGTGAGTCAATTGAAGCTAGACAACCATGGAAAACCTGGAAGCACTCGACGGCCGTTTCATCCTACTATGGGACTCCTCAGCAATGCTCATCCACGATCCCGCCTCGGGAGATTCGAACCCAGGACATGTCAATCTCGCGCGCGAGCACTTAACGAATCAGACCACTGAGCGGATGCGCACCGCTGATGAGTCCCATAATAGGACGAAACGGCCGCCCAGTTGTTATGTCCTTCGGTCTGTCTACTCGCTTTTGGTGCTGAGGATACTTATCTAATTCAGATTAAGACCTTGGCGCAATAGGCTGACCGACCTAACCTTAAAGCTAGTACGCGTGAGTTTGAAGTGGGGTAGAGAGAAAACTATTCTATCACCTGATTGGCTGACAAGCATGCGAATGAGAGAAGACAAGACAACTGGAACATTACTCGATCTATTCCCGATATCCTGATTTCAGTTCGGATTAGTGTAGAAAAGTACATGAATAAATAAGTGAATAATCCGACCACAGCGTACAATAATTAGGAAAAATACAATTATGTCCAAAGCTGGGAATTAGAGTAGAAAATAGGGTGCAAAATATTATGTTTAAATTACAATACCTTCGGAACAAAAAAGGGTATGGCAATGAATCATACATCGAACGAAAGCTTACGTTCGGTAGAATAAATTAAGGACAAAAATAAATGTCAGTGTTTTACAAGCTTTGAATAAAATGAAATAACTTTCCGAAAAAAATAGCTTTCGTAGTTTGTTAGAGCTTCTTGTTTTCTTGTTCACAACACCAGTGCTTCCAGATTTTCCATGATGGTCTAGCTTCAATTGACTTATGATCTCAACTACTGAAATTACTACAATCTTCACAAAATCCTTTCTGATACTTATCTTAATAACACGAAGGACAATGAATAAACAACCTCCCCAGCAGTGCGCGTAGACGACCCCGAACCCCGCGCGCGAGCACTTAACCACTAGACCACTGAGTTGGGGTCCAGCGGTGTTAATGTCTAACTTCAACCAATCCACGAAGTTGAACTCCACTGGTAACAGCTTCTCACTAGAACTCCAGGAGTATCTCCTGAAGTCAGTCACTAGTGAGCAGTTGATTATTATCAGAATAGGTTTTGTGGAGATTTTTTAGAAATTTCACAGGTTGAAATCATGAGTCAATTGAAACTAGACCACCATAGAAAACCTGGAGGCACTGGACGGCCGTTTTGTCCTAGTATAGGACTCCTCAGCAGTGAGCATCCACGATCCCTCACCCTGAGAGATTCGTACCCAGGACCTAGTGGTTTCTTTATTTATCAACTGGTTAAATGAATTATTTTGCTAAATTCTTATTGGTTATTTATCTTATATTATTTATTTTTGAATTAACCAATCATTTATTTGTATTTTTATGAATTCAATTTTTATTGGTTAATTCTTATTCCTATTAGCAGATTCATTCAATAGAAAAGTACAGTATAGAATTGATTCACATAAATATGACCTTTATTCGGACAAATTCGAAGCACTTTCAATTGAGATCATGATGATGATGATGATGATGATGATCAAGAATGAAGTATTTTGAATATCAACCATTTGACATACATAGATACATATATATACCTATTCCTTATATTCTATAGAGATACTTTTACTTTAGGAAGAAAAACACACACACTTTCCTACTATCCTTTTCTTTTAAGGATTAAGATTATGGAATCATACAACTTGAAAAAAGAAAAGAAGAAGAAGAAGAAGTGAGAATGTAAATAATTGATAATACAGTTGGCAACTGTCTTTAACTATAGACAGTTGTATGATGATGATAGTAAATAGATATAACTCAAGTATAAATTCCTTCAATTATTTTTGTTAGTTAAAATGTCAGAAGAACAACATATAAATATAAATAATGAATATTGTCCAATAACACGTTTATCTTATCCATTATCTTATTTAACTGGTATAAATGAAGATATACGAGGTGAATTAGTACATTCTATTATTGATTTACAACAACAACAACAACAAGAACAATCTATGAATACATGTGCAGTACCAATCAATGTATGTTGTGTTTGTTCTAATGATGAAAATGACCTACAATCATTACATTCTGATGTTCAAGTGTTATGCGCTACTCCGGGTTGTAAATATAGTAAGTCCAATGCATATATACTACATTTATTTTTGAAAAATTCATTTATAAATGGATTGATATACATGGAGATTGTTGAATTCTTATTGTTTGAGATCATGAACTGATCTTAGTTAGATCATTATTAGATACTTGGAAGAACTGGATAGATATGTTATCCTAGTAAAATGTTATATTCTTATTTTTCTTTATTATTAACATAGGTATAGTGTTCAGGAATATGATTCTCAAACATGTTTTTCAAATAGTATACTAATATTAGTAAAACTGTAGTGAATAAGAACATCAGTGGGGATAATTGAATGTATTCGAGCATAAAATTACAGAGCATCTCACGAAAATCTGAGAATCATATAGTAACTAGTTAATTTGCCAAATATCAATCCATCGTCTCAAACTTGACAGTCCCCTATGCAAATATCAGTCCATCATCTCAGATTTCATTGTTCATTCATTTTCATATGTCAATTGGATTCTGTTTCCGTTCTTTCCTTATCGACCTTCTACTGAAATACATTCTATGCCTGACCATCGTTATATACTACTTATGTGGACATAAGTAGCTCATACCACAAAACAATCTTATTTATGGATTTAACACTTTATTTTTAAAGATTATCTATATGATTGATTGATTGATTGATTTTGGCTAGGAAAAACTATTGAGAAAATCATGGAGCACGAGATAACAGTTTAATGCTGGTATGGAACTCATTAACTAGTACTCATCAATGATATCACCACAGATTTACTCTAACAACTTCTGTCATAATAATGAATCCTTAATTTGTCTCATATCTGATATCGTTGTACCACACCAACCAAATCTCACAAGAACTATGGGATTGTAGACTACTGAATGTCAACTCAGTGGCCTAAGGAATATAAGCTTATCACGAGACCAGAACTTATTGAACTCATCTTGTGGAGGTATTATTATTTTTCTATACTGTTGAAAAGTCTTATAAGAGAACGTAAAGCCTGTCCAATGATCATTGGACTCCACTGATACTGTAACTAAGGTCAATTCGTGATAAATATTACCTACAAATCCAAAATAATCTTCAAAAAAATCCCTACGTCTCAAATGATAATTGGAGATTCATTAGCAGACTTATAAGAAGAGAAGAGGAAAGCAAACGATATCAGTTATTTTGTTGAGTCAATTTAATTTAAAATGATTTTTGAGTTACCCCTTTACTGATATTCATGATTAAGTTTTGATCACTCTTGGTTGATATATGTACATCCTGTACGGATTGCCTTACTGTTATCCATCATATCACAAGTTTACATAGAATAGATAGAATGTGGTTAGCAGTGGAATCCAGGATGTAAGTTTCGTCCAATCCATTACAAATTAATGCAAAATTCATACCACTCCCATATGTAATTGTCTATTCGGATTCAGTAATTAGGTGGACAACACGTTGGACGTATGAAGCCAAAAGTACTGAGTGAAAGTCAACTCTAGGTTGTAGGTACATTCAATTGACGAATCCTAGATAAGATGAAATGCGCATCATGGATTCAACTGTTAAATATATTCTATATATTTTATATTTTCCTTTATAATTACCGATTTTCTATTTTCTGTTTGTAAACTGACCTTTCTATCCTAAAGTTGAATGTTTTACCTTGTATCGATCAGAATGGTTTCTTTCTATTTTCATAGATAAAACCACATTGATTATACTACGTGATTATGTTGATGAAGTTTTGTTCTCTGAACTGGATAGTTTGGTCGTGAAGCTTTCATCGTTCTTCTGAATGACATCATCAGCACATACTTCTATCTGAAGTTGATAATGTCGTTCAGAAGAACAATGAATGCTCCACGATTAAACCATCCGACTCAAAGAACAAGTCTCCATCAAAATCATCCATCTGAGCTACAAATCTTCTTCACGTGATTATATATATAAAGAACAGTTATAAAAATGTGTTTCGTGACTTTCTCTCTTCTTTTAGCATGATCAGCAGATCTACTTGTAACAACAATTGTCTCATTTGTAATTCAGTTACTAAGCTTTAAGCTACATACCCCCTTTATGTATTCGATTATAAGTTATTGATCTTATTGTAAGTAGGGTTCAACTTTGTAATTAAATGATTGAAAGCTCAGTATTTCATGTCCAATTAATCAAATGTCTTTAACTTTTAAGTTCCATAGGATATTTTTAATGGTAAATGAATGATTGACCGACCGAACGTAGTTCACTATTGAGATGAATCCATATTATATAACAGTATTAGGTGTTAATTAAAGTCTTTAATTAGCAGTTAATTAAATTCTATTTTATATAGATTTTATTGTGAATCTTATCATTAAAACATAATGAATGTGTATTATTGATGAGGTCTAAATTTCGACAAAACTACTTATTATCACAAGTATTCTTAAACAATAACTAGATTCTTCGTAGCATGAGGGGGGTATTTGTGGAGTTTGTAGAATTTTTTCAGTTTACATGATGAACTGATCTTATCTAGATCATCATTGGAAAACTGGATGCACTGGACATTCGTTTCATTCCGATGTTGAACTCCTCAACACCACACAACCACGAACCCTCACTGTAGAACAAAAATAGGATCAACAGAATTGTATGAGAATGCTTAACCCCTAGACTACTAAACCGAAATCATGTGATGTTCAAGTCTAATTTAAATCAATCCACGATACTGAGCAATCACCTCCGATTTTTTTGGTACCTTACTCATACTTGATATAGTGTGAGACTGAAGATCCTAGGTTTGATTTCCTGTGGTGGAGTCATGAATAGCCACTACTGAAAAGTCTCATAATACGACGAACTGACCATTCGGGATTCAGATTATGAAAATTTACTGGGTTTACCGAAGACTACGTATTTTATGGTACCTTAACATTATATAGAGTTCATTTAATTTATTGTATAGAGCATCAATCACTGTTTCTCTGTTACTGATAGCCAGCTCAAGCTACTCAGCGACCATTTTCTTTCCGAATGTGCATTTATTGTCATAAATTTTCTTGTCAGTCGTGTACGCTTACACACTCGTAAAATGTTAACAACTACAATGATTGGTATATTGTTCTGTTCATCTTTCCTTTAACAAACGATTAGCTACTGAAAATAACCAAAAATGAGATTTCTCTTCATGCAAATGTACAGTGGGCTAAATCAACTAATATCTACGTTAAATTATAATATATTATAAACTCATTAGTGACTAGCTTCAAGATGGATTTCCCGCAGTTCCAATGAGAAGTCGTGACCAGTGGAGACTAATACGTGTTGGGTGCGAGACAGTTATCCACCTCAGACAATGGATGAAAGGTTGTGTAAGATCATGTATCGATTGAAGTTAGACATTAACACCGTTGGATACTGTCTCAGTGGTGACGAGTTTAAGTGTTCGCACGCGAGCCCGAAGGTCTTGTATTCGAGTCCAGTGTTCAGTTGAGCCGTTATACCTGATCGTATCATACATGACTTTCAATTCTTCGATAGGATTTATGTCTTTTTTGAACTGTAATTCTAATACTTAGACTTTCGTTACTACTGATCTAATCTTATTGTGTTAATTTTCACTTACTTTTCTGAAGTGTGGTGTTGTGATTCGGACAGTTGTAGAATCGTGATAGACCTTACACTAATAATGATTGACTGAGTTACTGATAAGATCATTTGTGTATGTTTAATGTTTAGAAATGAGCGTAGTTAATTTTGTTCGAGTTGCTTAGACACAAGACGTACTATGATACTGTCCGGTCATCTAAACCGATCAAGGTTTTCTTCTCAAACAACTACTCATCAACCCTTTCATATAAAAGTCTAATCCGTAAGGTAGTAGAAGAACTTATAGAGATCTCTACGCATAGAAGTCGATGATCAATAATAGGTTTAGATACCATTTGTTTTTATTGAGATTCTACAACTTTTGCACACTATTGGTTTGAAATTAAGGTGTTCGAACTACTGTACATGTACTCTCCGTATTCATCAAACCGGGTTAGGCTCCAGGTGTTCGTATTTTATCATCTCATTTCGGTAAACAGTACTACCACCACGAGAAGGCAGTAAGCAGGACTTCCTTAGTAGAGGCCATAAACATATGATCATATGAGAGTAGTTCGTGAGGGAATGTTGATCCTTTTCACTCTACGGTATACTTGGTTATTTGGGGGTTTTAATATTAATGGACCATATGTCTAAAAATAATTTAAATGACTTTTTATCATGTTTGTAAGCCGCAACTAGAATCTTTGTTGTAATTTGGCCACTTACAATAAAATAATCAAATCCTATGATCAATAAAGCTTATTCATAGCTATTAAGCTTTTCATATTCATCAACTTGAAAGAATGTAGAGAATTATAAACAGAGATGGATAGTATTTAGCAGTGGAATCCATGACGAGCGTTTCGTCCTATTTGGGACTCATCAGTTGAATGCATTTATATTTCATCTTAAAATAATAAAATTTACTACTTATAATCATAAAGATTATATATTAATAATGAAAAGTGAAGTATCCATTATGTGTTTTCTTTTCTGTAATCATTCACTTTATTGAAATAGTAATGGTAATATTAATACTGTTGATAATAATCTTATTACTATGACCTTAGGCACAGTTGCTATGGTTATTAAATCCATTGATATTTATTTTGTAATTTGGTGTTTATCCATGTTATCACCATTATTATTATTATTACTACCACTACTATAAGGTGATACACTTTACTTTCTTACAGTAAAAACAGCTTTTTATTGTATAATGGAGCCCAATTCTCAATTGATAACATTAATATTGGAGAAAAAAATGTGGTGTTTTATTGCTTGTCTAGTTATATGTTGGTTCCCCCTCAAGTTTTTTTTCCAAGGTGGTCAACAGAAATGTAAAGATAGAGAGAGAGTGTGTGTGTGTTTGCGTGTGTATGTGGTAGAGGGAATGATAAGTCTATTACTTATCAACCAGATATATATGTAATATAACACTAATTAATATGTCAAATAGGTCTGGACAAGTACTTCTTTTGATATTGACTATATTCATTATTCTTATTAATGGATTCATTCATTCAACCACCATCATCACCACCACCATCCTCACCACCACCACCACCACCACCACCACCACAACAACAACAACAACAACAAAACACCATACACTTATCCATTTTCAATTATACAAATTAATATTTTTTTTGTATATTTGTTGTTAATTACTAACCCTATTAGTAGGTTTCATTAAAAGAAAAAAACGAAACAACTAATTTACAGATTATCCATAGCTTAAGTGAATAGAACATATGGGTAAATTTTGGGGGTTATAATTTGTATACAATATAATTATGCTATAAACTCACTTAGCAACACTAGTATGAGTGAGATTATAATTTATGGACAAATCAATTAGGTATAAGATAATTGATCTCGGATTTTTGGCGTGAAATTTACTCCTCATCCATTTGGTTAAATAACATCTTGGCATTTTAGCTGATATCAGTTCATGATGAAAACCCTTAATCTAATTCCTATCCTTTACCATCAATTGCAAATTATAATCCTTATTGTTCAAACTGCTTTATAATCCTCTTTAAGTTTTAGTAAGTAGATAAACATTTACAAGGTCAGTTTGGCGTTTATCAAATGTTGTCCATAATTTATCTATCTAGCTAAGTGAATAATGCGATGGGATTTGAAGCGAATGGTACTGGGTTCGAATTCCAGAGTGGTTGTCAACTCTCTAAGGTGCAGGTACATCCAGCTGACGAGTCCCTAATAGGAAGAAACACACGTCAAACTGGATTCCACTACTAGTCACTATCCATCATTATATACACTTGTATTTACAATTGATTGATCACTGGGTGGTGATCAATGTCATGCTTGTCTAGTCCTTATTAGTGCAGATCGAATAGCATTCGATCTGCACTAATAAGGACTAGACAAGCATGACATTGATCACCACCCAGTGATCAATCAATTGTGATTACATCTCAGCCCTACAGGAGGTCAGTCACGCCTTGGATAGCTCAGTGGTAACGTCTCTGACTGTGAAGCTGGGTGACACGAGATCGAATCCGCCAGGGAGCACCAGTTCCCTCAATGTTACAGGTACACCTTGTTGACAACTGCCAAATAGCACGAAACCCAGATCCACGGTTTCCTGTTGACTACCTCCAACCACCATCTAAATCTCAATACACTTGTATTCTTTCAATATTCTAATTGATCAATAACTAAAAAAAGTACAAATTATATTCAATTCATTTTATATTTTGGTTACAAAACTAAATATTCCCATTTTTTAACTAAATGTACTTCTATTAATCATGAGATAGAAAATGGCCTTTACCCTAAAAATAAAACAAATTTAAGGTCAATTATGATTTGGTTTCTTTCTCTCTTTTTTGTTTTCCTTTTTCATTGTAGCCTTGACTCTTTTTTTCTCCAGAGAATGTTCTTTGTTGTTAACTTGTCCGGTAAAATTAATTTTTTTTAAGGTGTGTGTTATGCGTTTATATATCTATGTGTATGTGCGCGTGTATGTTCTGTGTGTGTGTGTTTGTTTGTTTGTTCTATGTATGATGTCATCTAGGCGAGTTAGTATATATGTATATATATATATGTGTGTGTACAACACACACATGTGTGTCAGTCATACTCTCTTTTCCATAACTAGTGAATTGAATCATACATGTCTGTTTACTATTTTTTTTCTTGTTGTTGTGATTGCTGACCGGTCTATACAAAAAAAATTTGAATGGACCAATAGGATAATTGCGATATTGAGTTTGTCTATCATCATATCAGTCAGCCTAGATTTAAACCTAATTTGTACATAATGTGGGTTTTTTTTAGTTTTTTTTTTGAAGGTCATTTTTGTAATTGGTAGGTAGCAAAGGGTCAAAGGCTAAATATTATGGTTGCCAAAATATAACTGATTAATAATAGAAGTAAACAAGATGATTCATCATTTGGGTGTTTTGTCCTTTTATTCATCCCAAATATAAGGTCATTCATCTTGTATAAGATAAAGAATTGAATAGGGGATAAATATAGAATATTTAGATGAAATATCCACTTTTTGTTGTTGTCTGTTGTCATGTTCTCACTAGTGAATAGCTTCGTAAGAAAATTCTCAGAGTTCTAGTGAAAAGCCATGACCAGTGGAGCTAATCCGTGTCGGATAGAAACAGGTGTCTACCTCAGCACAATAGGAGACGGTCGCGCAACTTCGTGGATTGGTTGAGGTTAGACAATAACACCATTGGATGCCGGCTCAGTGGTCCAGTAGGTCAAGCGTTCGCGCGCGAGACTAAAGGCCCTGGGTTCGAATCCCGCGAGCGGGATCGTGGATGTGCACTACTGAGGAGTCCCATGATAGGACGAAACGGCCGTCCAGTACTTCCAGGTTTTCCATGGTGATCTAGCTTCAATTGACTGATGATGTCAATCAAAAACTTACCAATCTCCACAACCCCTAAACTGATATCTTCTTTTCTTTATTCTTAAACAGATGGTCCAATACATAGAAAGTGTTTAGAACATTGGGATGCATGTTGTGATTTCTATTGTCATTTATTAAATAATTCATTCAATAATTCATTACTACAAAAATCATCAACATTTGAAACAATTTCAACAATAAAACCAACAATATCATCATCAATTTTATCAAATTTCAATGATTCACCTTTACATAAATCATTTATGGAAGGTTTATTTCGACTTTATGAATGTCCAGCATGTGGTCAATATACATTGTATAGATCATCAATTCATTCAACAGTATCTTCCACTTCTAATGCTACTGGTAAGTGGATATTTATTTATTTATTTTAACACATAGATATTGGTACAAGGAGGCACCAAATACATATGCACCACACAGATCTCATTTGATCTGTGTGAGGGCTGTGATACTGTCCGGGTGACCAAACAGAAGCAGGTGGTTTTCTTAGGGGGCCACACACGGAGCCTTCGACCTGAAGGTCTGATTCACAAGGCAGTGGAGCATCATGAGGAAACGTAGTTCCATGTTGGCCGGTGACCAGCGATTGGTTCATACGCCATTTGTTCCCTTAGGAGCCTGGAGAACATGTGCACGATTGGTTCGGAATGAGGGTTTTCCAACTCTCCATGTCCACCAACCCGGTTAAAGCGTCGGACATTCGCTTTTCGTCCTCTCAATTCCGTAAACAACACCCGTGGTGCGAGCAGGCAGTGAATAGGACTTCCCTGGCAGAGACTATATACGTGTGGTCATGTAAGAGCATTTGGAGAGGGAGAGCGGACTCTCCCCACTCTTGGTCGGATCAGGGCATTTAGGGGGGGTATATTATTCTTATGATGACAAAAATATAAAAAAGGAATTTGACCTTCACAATATTGTTGTCCTTGAGTAATCGCAAAAGGATCAAGGCGTTAAAATGTTCTCTCTTACCAATTATTCGACAAATGACTGGATTATGTTTGAGCTATACTACAGTGCTCTTGAGGGACTCTAACTATTTCCTAGGGTTAAGAAATAGTTATAAATTAGCATGAAAAACTAGAATTGGGAGTTAGATGTTTTGGTTAAGAACTAGGATTGCAGTCGGGAAATGGAGATAGACATGAGAAAAATGAACAAGAATTAGATGGGATTAGAAAAGAAGGTCCAGGACAGAGTGGGTTGGAGAATGCTGGTCGGTGGCCTATGCTCCATTAGGAGTAACAGGCTTAAGTAACTAAGTAAGTAGGATTACAGTCTTCGTCTTGAACTAGCATTATAGTGAACAAGAACACGAGTGGGGACAACCGAATATATTGGACACGAAATTACGGAGCATCTCACGAAAATCTGAGAATCATATAGTAAATAGTTAATTTGCCAAATATCAATCCATCATCTTAAACTTGACTGTTCCCTTTGCAAATATCAGTCCATCATCTCAGATTTCATTGTTCATGCATTTTCATATAGCAATTGCATTCTGTTCCCGTTCTTTCCTTATCGATCTTCTACTAAAATACATTCTATTCCTGACTATCGTTATGTTCTACTTATATGGATATAAGTAACATATTTTATTGTAACAGTGGATATTATTGGTTTGAATCTCATGGAAGGCATCAGCTGTCTTAGCATTAGGGATAAACAGATGTTAAGAGTAAAAATTGATGGAAAAAGATTTTTGTACCACTTATCTTCAACATCTCAGCATCAAAACTATACTGTTAATTCACTTAGAATGGTCGGCACATTGTAGCTTGATCTATGGAATTCAACTAGCATTAAATGTCACATTGGCTACTTGAGATTGACTAGTCAGCTTTGAAAAGAAAGCATTTGAAATTAACTAAGTATCCTACAATAACATATTTCGCGGAGAATTTAGTAATTTCTATAGTTGAGATCATTAGTCAACTAAAACTAGACCACCATGAAAAACCTGGAAACACTCGACGACCGTTTCGTCCTATTATGGGACTCTTCAGAAGTGTACATCCACGATCACGCCTCGAAAGATTCGAAACTAGGACTTATCGTTCTCGCATGCGAGCGCTTAACCATTAGACCACTGAGTTAACCGGCATCCAATGGTGTTAATGTCTAACTTCTAGGTTTTTCATGGTGGTCTAGTTTCAATTGAATAACGATCTCAACTATAGAAATAATCGGTTTACTTACAAATTGCCAAGTTTTAATATGGATGAATAGAGAACAACAGTTGATCAAACTACTCAGAGCTATCACTTTACAATAATTTATTAAGAAAATCATTTTTCACTCTTTTTTCACATTTATGTCCATAAAAATGTATTTACTTCTTTTGTTTACAAATTTACTCTTATTCAAGGACATTGTTGTCATGAAATAGGATCATCTGATAATCATTATGCTGTAAACAATTTGTGCGCACCTACGTAGATACATGCACACACATATATAGATATTTTTATGTTGTATGTGTGTGTGAGAGAGAGAGCGTGAGAGAGAGGGGGGAGTAGCATAGTCAAATATACAAACAATGGAAGTAATCACCTTGAGAAAAATATTTGTAAATTTAAGTATATTGACGTTTACCTAGATAAGGTAACAAAATAGAAATGATGTGTTTCTGAGTTAGATACTTTGTCATTCACCAGAAATCTTTTTTTTTTAATACCTAATTATCATCCTGTCAGAGATGTGAATGCTTTTCCGACCTAAAAAGTACAATATTTTCTGAAGAAGGTTATTGTTTATAATATTTAGCTTCGAACATTATATACATATGTTGCAAATTCATTTTTATGGTCCTTTTGAGGTTTTTGAACCAAGCTACGAATTCCGTGGTATGGTCGAGGGTGGGAAGAGTCAGCTCTTCTTCTTGAAGAGTTCTTACATGACCACGCGTATACAGCAACTGTCCTATTCACTATAATCTTGAGGCATTAATGTTGTTTACGAAATTGAGAGGACAAAAAGTTAATGTTCGGCGTTTTAACTATGTTGGTGGATACAGAGGACCCATCTAGGGGAGTTGAAAAACCCTCATTCCAAACCAATGGTGCACATGGGGTCCAGTATCCCTAAGGAAGAAACGGCGTACGAACTTATTGTTGGTCATCGGCTACCATGTGACTGTATCTCCTTACGTTGCTCCACTGATTTGTGGATTGTACCTTTAGGTCGAAGGCTCGGGGTGTGACCCCTTGAGAAAATCACCTGCTCCGGTTTGGGCACCCGGGCAGTATCACAACCTACACACAAATCAAGTGATTTATGTGGCACATGTGTATTTGATGCTCTTTTGCACTAATATTTTTGTGTTCAAATAAATAAATAATGAACAAAGGTCAGTCCAAAGAAACTTTTCAACTGTGCTATATCAAATACTTCGTTAAACTTAAAAAAATATCAGTATGGGGATAAGTGGAGATTGTAGTAATTTTAATAGTTGAATTCATAAGTCGATGTAAGCTCGACCACCATTGAAAACCTGTAAACACTGGACAACCGTTTAGTCCTAGTATAGGACTCTTCAGTAATACACATACATGATCCTGAATATCGGGTTCAAACCAAGGACCTTTGGTCTCGCTTGAGAACACTTAGGCTCTACACCACTGAATAAGTATCCAACAGTGTTAGTGCGTACTTTTAGGAGTATTTCCAATGACGTAATCAAATATGAAATAAAGTCCTAGTAACAAAAATAATTCGTTTTAAAGGGAATAAGATTTATATAACCTAGATTTCGTAAATTTGATTTAATGTTTATCAGATTTAATAAGATCCGTCTATTCGTGTATCATTCCGTGTACTAGTTATTTTCCATTTGTTTATAATTTGTCATGAATTGGATCAAAGAACTTTAATGAACTCATTAGAATGATCATAAGCTTATTGTATTGAGATCATATGATTTAATTATCTTATGATTTAGCTCATTAAAACAATGAGATCTATTCTTGGTGTTGATGATTCCACATGTGGATTTGTATGCATGACTACATGTGGATATTGTGGAGACTTTCACACACACACACACACACACACACACACACACACAAGGACAACTATATAAATAGAGAACCATACATCCTTATGATATATGCATGATTCCTAAATCCGACCATTTTGTTTCTTTTTTAATTGAAAGAAATGTCGATAATATCATTTATTGAAGAGAGTACAGTAGAGGGTCGAACTTAAAACAATCACGATGAATATAGATTGTCGATCTTCTCGAACTCTTGAAATGTTTCGAAAAGATTTTCAAGAATCTCTATATTTGCAAAAATGAATAGTGGCTAGCACTGGAATCTTAGATGCGCGTTTTAGGACTCGTCAACTGAGTGTACCTTGAGGGGATATCAATTCTGAAGTTCAGGTACATCCAGCTGACGAGTCTCGAAATAGGACGAAACGCTCGTCCTGGATTCCACTACTAACTGCTATCTATTGTTATATATAATGCTTGTGAATTAAGGCAATATCGAAGCAATACGCACAGTATGCACATATGCCAATAAGAGACTGATCAATTACAGTCCTAAATATTAATGAGAAGATTCAAGTAAACAATACCAAGTGAATTTAATTCCTATAGTGTTCTTAATTCGGATTAGAATTAGGGGTTAAGCGTTAGGGTTTTCATCATGAATCAATATCAGTTATAATGGGAAAATGTTATGTGAGTGAATTCCTCTGAGAATTACAAGAAGTATTATGTAATTTGTCTGTCATTAAAACAGAGTGCTACCAAGTTAATGTTTGTTTCAGGATTTAGTAAGTGAGTACTTCATATATGAGGATAGTTCTCATTGAAGATTTTATTTTATTCATTTGGAGCTATCCAGATATGATTTTTATGAGCACACCATTGTTGTACATCCCAACTTGTCGAATGGAAGCATAAACAAAGGGAAAGCAGGAGTTGGAAATCAAATCCTCAGTGACGATTTTGCTCTCATATGAATGAATGGGAAAATGACCAATATATATTTGATATCTAATACATATTAAACACTGAATATTGAATGGGCTAAACATTTACGGACACGTATCTTATCTTCTCCTCATTGTAAATGATATTCGAATTTCACACATAAACCTAAAAAGGTGCATTCTCGATCGTGATTGGCTAGTCTCTATACTACAATATACTCTATTCTATACTTATAAGTCAAAAATTGATTAGAGTTGAAATCGCACCATTAAATACCAACTCATTAGTTCTAATGATTAGGCATCCGCTGTGAGATTAAACGGTCTTCGGTTTAATCCCTGGGGGTGGAGGGGGTTTCTGGATGTGCGTTTCCGAGGATGATCAGCGTTGAGTTCGGGACGCGAACATAGTATTTTTTATTTTAAGCACTAACAGGTTATCAAGCTTAGAGTTGAACATCAACAACGGGATACAGTCACATTCAGGCGACTAGTAGTCCCACTAGACAAATATAACACTGGTCACCATTAAGTGATCAATCAATTGTATGATGATGAAATTTTTCTAATCTCAGTTCGTGTATTTATCAGACCGATCACATACACGTATATATCTTGTTAATGCTTATCATTAGTTTGAAGTTTATTTAATTTTGTTATCATAAGAAAAAGGAGTTTCACTGTTTTACTGATTCACAGGTCAGACACCACAAACATTATCGTCTACAACATCTAATCATTTTACAAGTGTTTTATGCGCTATTCACTATGCTACTGAAAAATTAAATCAATCTGAAAATCCAATTCAATCAACATTATTACACTCTGAACCATATTCACAATGTAAACAATATAATTCAAATTCACCAGTGGATTATATTGGATCAATGGAATTATCACCAAATTTCTTAGATGATTTAAAATCTCAATCGAAAATACCCATAACAAATTCATCGACAACGGTTAGGTCACATTCCTATGTTCAACCACCATTGATTACGGATCGATTCAGTGATATTTTAAGGTAAGTCAGTTTAGTACTGCCACTACTACTACTACTACTACTACTACTACTACTACTACTACTACTACTACTACTACTACTACTACTACTACTACTACTACTACTACTACTACTACTACTACTACTACTACTACTACTACTACTACTACTACTACTACTACTACTACTACTACTACTACTACTACTACTACTACTACTACTACTACTACTACTACTACTACTACTACTACTACTACTACTACTACTACTACTACTACTACTACTACTACTACTACTACTACTACTACTACTACTACTACTACTACTACTACTACTACTACTACTACTACTACTACTACTACTACTACTACTACTACTACTACTACTACTACTACTACTACTACTACTACTACTACTACTACTACTACTACTACTACTACTACTACTACTACTACTACTACTACTACTACTACTACTACTACTACTACTACTACTACTACTACTACTACTACTACTACTACTACTACTACTACTACTACTACTACTACTACTACTACTACTACTACTACTACTACTACTACTACTACTACTACTACTACTACTACTGGTACTACTGTAGTGAAGGAGAACATCATTAGGGACAACCCAATATATTTGAACACAACATTACAGAATATATCCATCAATTGTCTCAGACTTGATTGTTCCCTCGTTTCTATATCAATCACTCACTGTTCTCGTTCTCTCTCCTTCTCGTTCGATTTTCTCAACCTTATGCCTTCAGGCATTCCACTTTCAATTGGTGATACATATTACTTATATCTGTGGGCATCAGTAGCATACACCAAACTACTACTGCAATAACCGTGATAATAATAATAATGTTGTCACAAAGTTTTACTGAAGTCAATCAAATGTACAGTCCAGTTCATAATGAATTGGTATTTATCCAGTTGACTGGGTGTTATAGTTTTTTTCATTTATTGAACTATTATGAAGTATGTAAGATTATTATAGGATGTAGGTCATTTAATCACGTAAAGAATTTGGAATGAAATCTATTTAAAGACTTATTGAATACATGGAATAATGTTAACATGTAATAACAATCATAATAACTTACAGTATCCAACAATATACAACTTAGATGAGTCCTATTTAGTTATTTATTTGAACACACAGATACAAGGAGGCACCAAGTAGATATGCGTCACACAAGTCACTTGATTTGTATGTGAGCTGTGATACTGCCCGGGTGTCCAAACCGAAGCGGGTAGTTTTCTCACGGGGCCACACACGAAGCCTCCGACCTAAAGGTACAATCCACAAAGCAGTGGAGCAACGTCAGGAGATGTGGTTCTATGTTACCCGGTGACCAACGATCGGTTCATGCACCATTTGTTCCTTCAGGATTCTGGAGACCATGTGCACGATTGGTTCGGAATGAGGGTTTTCCAACTCTCCTAGGCAAATCCTCCATATTGACCAACCCGCTTAAATCGTTGGACATTCGATTTTCATCCTCTTGATTTCGTAAATAACACCCCAGCTGAGAGAAGGGAGTGAGTAGGAATTCCCTACCAGTGGTTGTATGCACGTGGTTACTTGAGAGCATTTGGAGAGGGAGAGCTGACTCTCCCCACCTTCGAGCGTACCAGGGCATTTGAGGGCCAAGATGAATCTAAAGTCAGAAGTAGAAATAGGTATAAAAAATAAACTATAGTTTCAAATAAGTTATAGTTTTCATGTCCAGTGGTTTGTGTTGCTGTGGGGGGGGGTTCTCACTTGGTCGATTTCAACCATCTCATACACCGTGGTTACCGGGGGCTAATCTTTATTTAAAATCACTTTGTAATGAGAAAAATGTATCTATTATGCAATATTTATCACAGATTGATTTTAGTTAATATGCCATTAAAATTAAAAAGGTATTGGATAGGTGTTCCGTTTTAGTATGCGACTCTTCAGCAGTTGCATATTGATTGGATTCAATAATGCTTACCATCAGGTCTCAGCTCAGTAATCTAAAGGTGTCATATCTAGAGCTTAGATTTTTTATATGCCGCATATGACTTGAGCACTTGAACGCTAGAAGCTTTCCAAGTCGCGAATGAGAAGACAGAAGACAAGTGAAAGGAATGCTATTCCAAACAGTGTCAATTATGGAGCAAAACTCTCAGGTATTTATATTTTTTGTAAGTACGAAATCATCATTATAGTTATCCAATCCACACACAGGGGGTTATTAGCATTTGTCCAATAAGGAAGCTACACGTAGTGATTTAGGAATATTCTTCCAAAAGATAATTGGATTTAATATCTTCGGCTCTTTCCGAGCTTCTTAGAGCTTCCTCGAGTTCACCCGTGGACCGTCCTCACACCTCCCCCTCTTTAAAGTTTGTTATGTAAGACTTTTTTCTCGGATTCACCTGAAACTTGGTTACCGCATTCGTTTTGCGGTTCATCACTCTCTAAGGTTGTACCGCTTTGTCGCTTATCCAGAAATTTGAAGTTCCTACATTCAATACTTGGCGCGGTATCAGTCTTGCACTGATAATGAATGTCATTCTAAGATGAAATAACCAATGATACCCGAACTTATTGAATGAATCCTATTTGAATTTGTAACATTTGTCACTTTTCTTCATTTTGTGTTTGTACTTTTACACTTGTTTCCTTTCAACAACAAAAAAAACAACTATTTACAGACGATATTCATTAAGTCGTGAAACAAATGATTCTACTAAATTTTCAACTAGTAATACATCAAGTAGTATGAGTAGTGGATATCACAGTGGTTTATCAACCGGTGAACATACTGTTGATCCTAGTCGCCGTTGTAGTGATAATCCATATGATCAATTCATGTTATCGATGAAAGAAGATATTATGAAAGGGAATGAAGATAATTGTATACCATGGGAAATTACAAATATTCAAACAGGTCAATCAATATCAAGAGCATTAATCAAAGGGAAACTACCAAGTAAATACTTATTATTTTATGATATTCTATTTATTCCGTATAAATTTTGTTGAAGTTAGACATCAATGCCGTTGGATACCGGTCGGCTCAGTGCTCTAGTGGTTAAGTGCTCGCGTGCGACACTGATAGGTCCTGGTTTTGAATCTCGCAAGGCGGGATCGTGGATGCTTTCTTCTTAGTAGTCCCAGAATAGAACGAAACGGCCGTCGAGTGCTTCCAGGTTTTCCATGGTGGTCTAGCTTCAATTGACTCATGAATCCAACAATTAAATTTTTCTGTATATATTCGATCGTGATGAGTAGTGTATTTTGTTGTTCGATTTAGTCAATAATACACATCCATTAACAATTCACTATCTATGAAAAGACAAAAGCTTATGATGATTGTGTAGAAAGTTCTGTTCCCAAAGGTTGAATAGTAATGTGCACAACTCATAAGCATATATAATTGGATTCGTCAAGGCAAGGATTTGCGTGATCGGGGTGACCTTGATTAAGTGAATAATACGTCAATTGACAGTAGTCCCTCAACACTTGGATCTCTTACCTACCATGTAGCTCTGTGATAGCATGTGATCTGTCTAAGTTCTTTAGTATGTTATGTCTCTCTCTTTAAAAAAAAGATGATATGGGTGAAGACAATTAGCACCAATTTCAAATCCTAGATTTTCAAGTTGATGACATTTGTCAATGAAGCATCTCTGAAATCATAAGGATAGTGACGCTTCATCAAAGGTTCAAATCATCATTCGCGAAGAAAATAGCTCAACAATAAGGCATTTAACTTTCTTATTGGTTGGTATGCATTCGATTCGTTGTAACACAGTAGATTACTACAAATCATTCAGATGAGCTTCACAAGTCTAAACTTCATCTACCCTGTACTTATTACTACTTACTCAGTGATTTCACTACACAAGAGCAATACATTGAAAGCATCTACGATTAAATACTAGCAACCTATCTTCAAAAATACAGCTTTACAGGTATATAACATGACGGAAAGAATTTTTGTTTGGCATTTCTCTGTTTCATAAGGTAGACAGACATTTCATCTTACATTTAGGAATGATTTGTAACTATATCAGGATTTCATTACTCACTAACCAATCAGAGTCGATAGGACTTCCAAGATAAATGAAATATTTTAATAGTAGAATTCATGAGTTGATATAAGCTAGACTACCATTGAAAACCTGGAAGCGCTGGATGATCGTTTTACTCTAGTGTGGCATTACTCAGCAGTGCATATTCACAATGCCACATACGGGACTCGAACCCAGGGCATTCAGTCTTACGTGTGAATACTAAAGCTCTACACCATCGAGACGGTATCCAACGATGTTAATGTCTAACTTCAATCGATACATGATCTTGCATAACCCTTCATCCATTGTTTGAGGTGAATGACTATCTCACACTAGACACGGATTAGGCACCACTGGTCAAGACTTCTCACTAGAACTGCAAGAAATCCATCATGAAGCTAGTCACTAGTGAGTAATATTATGAAATGAAATAGCTGACTCATTCCCACTTGAATAACTTTCAACGAAATCACAGCTGCAGACGTTACAATTAGTAATGTTATTAGTCTAATGAGTAGTTTCATGAGATTTTAAAAGATGATTAAATACACGGTTTGAGAGATTATTGTCAAATATAATTGATAAATCTTGAATACGACTTACAGTGTTTGTTTTTTAATTGTTTTGTCTATTGTTTCGTCAATTCAATAACAAAGACGATGCAACTATGTTAAATGATGTTATCAAGTATTCGATTGATTCATCTATGCCAACAACAAGAAAGAGTTATTCATCAACTGTAAACTTGGATGATCTTTTTGATAGAAGTTTAGATATTACTGTGAATAACAATACGACTAATAACAATGACAACAACAACAACAATGTTGGTAACACTAATCTTATGAATAGACCTCTTTCAGCGATTGGTAGTCGACGTCATCATTCTACATCTGATGGTTCTGGAAATATCAGCTCTTCAACTGTTGGAGATACTACTAATACTACGACCACTACTACTACTACTACTATTACGACGACGACTACAAATACTTCTTATCATCATAATGTTAAATCCAATCCTTCATGGTCAAATGATTCAATCGGTAAATCAAGAATGACACATTGGCATGGTAATAGTAATATTGAGACGAAAATGAAAAAGGTTGTCAATACCAAAGGAAATATATTTCTACAAAGGAATGATTTCAATGTATTCATGGTTAGTTGTTTAATGATAATAATCAATAATGAATGAATTATATCATTGATGAAATGATTGAATCTGATTGAGGAACATTCTTTTTTTATTATAGAGAGTAGTTTTGTTTGTTTACGGTATTGATTATGGACTGATAAAAGTTAAGATACCATTGAAGATCTAGAAGTATTGAAGAATTATTTTGTTCATTTTGAGACAATTTAACAGTGTACATTCATTACTTTGGTAAATATTAGTTCCAGGACTTTTGGATCCTGTCAGTGGAAGATTTCCAAATTCAATAAATTCAAGATATTTAGTAACTGTCATCCACTGTGATTAGTTAGGGACCATCTTGCTGTTCATATTGATGAATTCCATTTAGACTCCGTTGGCACCCCCACCCTAACTGATGTCAACTGGAAATAAATACTCTCCATAGATCTGGTATTATTTCATTGAATCGAATTGAAATAAAGTAGATAACAACGTAAGTAAACTAATGATGGGCTGAAATAAAATGTGAATAAATTAATTGAAACCTCCTGGACATCTTGGTTTTCGACTGTTGTCGATCGATAGTGTTAAGCTACAAGTTCAACAGTTTCCATATTCTCCAAATGCTAAGACGACAATGTTACAGAGAAATCATTCAAAAGGACTTTAAATCAAGAAAAAAAAATTGGTGTTCAAAGAGTAGACGTCCTACGTAGTTGGTATCATTTCATCCTAGTACAATCTGAACGAAATGAATTCGCTAATTAATGTTGAAAAGAATGCACTAGAAGACCGAACAAATCTACCTTGATTTTTATGATAATGATAAACTAGTATTAAATGATTGTAGCCGTTTAATAGGACACCTTGTCTGTTTTATTTAAGATTCATGGTAGGTAATACTTATTCTATCCTTAAGGTGTATTTTGAATCTTCATGTAAGACAAAATTGAATCACTTTAAGTGTTACAATAATCAGAGACGTTTTCATCGGGTTATGTTCTCTTGTACCATTGAACTACTTCAACTGATCAGTCATTGAGTATTGACCAATATTTGCATAGATTGATTGAGTAACAAGAAAGCTTTAGATGTGTAAATGCATTTGATACTAAATAAAGTAAGTAGGTCAAATGTGAAAAGCAGTAACAGTATAAATAAAATATAGATTAAATTAGTTTCCTTCATTATAAAGTATAACATATATGTTACAATACACTTGTTCCAATGTTTGTTTTCATTTATCCATATATTCCTGGAAGTTTTCAGGTTCTTCAGATCCATCGCTTTTGTTTAACGTTTATATCATCTTCCTAGTAACATATTATGTATGCATGTAATTTATACGGATTCAGCTCATGAGAAGTTTCCAAGTCAATACAACAGGCTGATAGTTGTTCTAGTCATATTTACATCATTCTTGCGGTGTACACAATCTTCACGAAACATTTGGAAAGCTTGAGAAGAGTTGGGTTTTTTTCACCGCATTATTCTTAGTTTGCACATTTTCTGAACAGTGTAGTACTTCTTAGAAGTGCTGACTCAGTGGTCTACAGGTTAAGCGCTCACTCACGAGAATGATAGGTCCTGAGTTCGAATCTCTCGAGGCAAGATCGTGAATGTGCACTGCTTAGGAGTCCCATAGTAGGTCGGAATGGCCGTCCAGTGATTCGAGGTTTTCCATGGCGGTCTAGCTTCAATGGAATCATGATCTTAACTATTAAAAAAATTTCTTAGAAGTATTTGATGGTATAAAATAGTCATGCGAATTGTAGTTCTAAATTTATATAAAGAGACCTGATTAGTAGTAATTTAGAACACAAGGCTTGATAAATAAACTGTATGTTTACATTAAATGATTGCTTTTCTCATTCACTCTTTACTGTCTATCATTTATCCAGAATGTAAGGAAAATCTCCCATAGAGTCATTAATAATTAATCGGTTATAGGAAGATTTAGGAAATGGTATCATCATGTCTTGAACAACTGTTCCATTAAGTGAATCATCATTATTATCAATAATCAGTTTAGAATTGTCTCTCCTAATTTTTCTAACTAAGTTTTTATGTAGCTTAGTTCATGCATTTAATTGGACAGACTATGGTGAATCTTCCCATTGATGTTTAGGGCTACACACTGTGCATATTGCCTTAGTTCACAAGCATTATAAGCGACGATAGATAGTGACTAGCATTGGAATCTAGGACGAGTGTTTCGTCCTATTTTGGGACTCGTCAGTTGGATGAACCTGGATCTCAGACTTGATGTTCACTCCAGTACTATTTGCATCATGCTAAATTTGAAGCGGTTACGAGTCCACTTAGACTGCGAATCGGAACAAAGTGTGGATGACCAAAGCCCAACAAGCTAGCTATTCCATACGACCCAGCCCCGTTAACTAGAGGAAGAAGTCCAAGCTTATAATGGAGAAGTCTATTCCGCAAACAGCCAGAAACGAGCAATAACAACAAACACAACAAAACCGTCCTTGGGGAGAGTTACAAAATAACATACTAAAAGACACAACGGACCAATAGCATTTAAGATTCTCCCAAGTGGGAAATACAACATGAAGGTGAAAAAAGCGCCTTCGGAGAGAAAACAAAGAAATTCAAATTTTCTACATAAAATTACAAAATTAGGTCTTTTCCCAAGTGAGTTCCGGGGATCTAACATCCCCAACACTTCAAACGAGGCAATCCACACAGGATGCACATATGCCAATAAGAGACTGGTCAACTGCAGTCCTAAACATCAATGGGAAAACTTGAGTAAACAATACCACGTGAATTTAAACTCCACCCTATCGCACAAGGAAGTGGCTATCAGGACTCAGTAGCTAAATGGATAACGCAATGGCGTTTGAAGTGGACAGTACTGGGTTCGAGTCCAGGAATGAACATCAACTCTGAGATGCAGGTACATCCAGCTGACGAGTCCCAAATAGGAGGAAATGCGCGGCCTGGATTCCACTGCTAGCCGCAATCTATCTTTACTCATAATTTATATAATAATTCTAAGGAAGATGCTATACACTTTTCAATAGTTACATTATTGTTTCTCTGATTATACTAATGATATTTTGCAAATTACCTTAATTTTAGAATTTACCAAATTATAAACAAAATGCTTATTTCATTCAAATGGATGATGACAGTTGTACAGGAAATGAAGATACACGTGCATTTCTATTAGCACAGTTAACAAATCATCGAGTTTCTGAAGTCTACTGTTTAGCATGTCAACAAATTCTGCCAATTTATGATCATTTTCCTGTGATAGATGGTATTTTTTTCATCAGTCCATTATGTCATCGTTCTAAAGAAGGTCATCGTAAGGGTGGTGGCCTACGGGTCACTTGGCATACAAATGGTATACAGAATCAATCTGTTCAACAACAACAACAACAACAACAACAACAACAACAACAACAGCAAACTCATCGAGCACACAATGCTACTACTAACAACACTGATAACAGTAGTATCAGTAACCATTTAATTTCGTCGACAAATGATTATCAATCTATAAATGAAGTAGCTTTGAAACTTTTGGCTCCATTAAAGATTATCTCACCACCACCTGGTTGTCTTGGACCTAGGCAACAATTAAATTCAACACAGCATAATATGATTAGTACTGGTACCGTTGGGGGTGCGTGCTCAAATCAAGGTGCTGGTAATAATAATAACAATAGTAGTATACCATCTCGATTTTCAACAAATCATTCATCTACTAGGCAGTGCCGTTATTTACATGCTCTATGCTTGAATTGTATGCATTCAGAAAACATGATCGCCACTGGTCGAGTAAATGATTTAAAACGTATTAAATGCAAAATTTGTAGTAAACCTTGGTCTGGTAAGTTGATAGATTTCATAAAATCAATGTTAATTTATGAAAATGTTAAACATCTTCAATTCATTTATCAGATCTAGGTTAATGTATTGGGATTCGAGCCAATACTTTAAGCGTGAAAACTAATGATACTACCCTAATGTCTTAAGTGAAATAAGTATTTGGGGGGGGGAGTCCAAACATGTGATCTAGCGGGTGAAGGTTAAACCCCTTAATCACTGATCCAATAAAAGAGAGGGATTCACACATATAGTATACAACTCTCTTTGAACCTAGCAGATAATAATAATATGATACTCTGTCTTATTGCTCTTACCATATCAGACAAATTGGGCATCAAATGTACAATAATAACAATTGTTTTTCATGCTGAAAAAATAACATTTTGTGGTTTCTAAGGTTGTGATTCTATTAGTTTTTTTTTGGGGGGGGTTGACCCAGGATATTTCCTAAAGGAAGTCCAGAGGGGCCCTGAAAACTCTGGGAATGGTTTTACCCAGTCAATATTAAGTAGGAGTCCCTCCGAAACATCTAGAAAGTGGAGTCACATATCACATATCTGATTAGACGATTACTTATCCTGCCACTATGTTCAGTAGGATTCCGGAACTTTCCAGAAGTCCAACGTCATCTGGAATGCTACAAGTACCCTCGATTTTCTGCACATGAACTAACCTTGCGGTAAAGCGTTTTTTCCATATTTCGATCCTTCACTTTCGTGTTCAAGTTGTCGTATAGATTTAGCCTGATATTATTACAAGAGCTTAGGAAACATCTGTGTATGTTGAATAGATTGTCTCGATATAACCTAAGCACTAGACTCGAATTTCATTGTGAACATCACCAGTGGTACATTCAGCTTTTGAGTACTAAATAAGATGAAAGGAGTATCGAGGATTTCAGTTCAAGTAACAACTTAAAAATACAAAAAAGTAGTAACACTGTGATAATTCTTTCAGTATATACGAAGACAACAGAGATTGATCAAAATCCAGTATCGAGTATCAACACCACGATAATTCAAACCCTTACGAATAGATGAATATTCATATTTTTAAACAAATATTGCAATGAAATAACATTCATTTCTAGCTTGAAATGCCCTGGTACGGCCGAGGATGGGGAGAGTACACTCTCCCTCTCAAAATGCTCTCATATGGCCACGTGTATATATCCACTGTCAGGGAAGTCCTGCTCATTATATTCTCGCGCTGAGGGTGTTGTTTACGAAATTGACAGGACGGAAAGCGAATGTTTCATGCTTTAACCGGGTTGGTGGACACGGAGAGTCTACCTAGTGGAGTTGAAAAACCCTCATTCCAAACCACTGATGCACATCGGCCTGAGTATCCTGACGGAACAAATGGCGTATGAACCAATCGTTGGTCACAGGCAACCATGAGACAGCATCTCCCAACATGCTAATGAAGTATGGCAACTTGGACCGATGTATATATGTACCTGGTCCTACGTTGTTGCTGACTGACTAACTGACTGACTACTTCATTGTGAATTAGACCTCTAGATCAAAGACTCAGAGTGTGACCTCCTAAGAAAACCACCTATTTCAGTTTGGGTGCTTGTGTAGTATTCCACCCCTCACACAAATTGAATGATTTATATGGTACATATATATTTGATGCGTCCTAGTTTCTAATAGTTGTCTAGTTAAAGATCAATTAATTGTTTAAACTATGAAAAGGTTTTCTTCTCTAATGAAAATTCATTCAGTATAATCAACATTCAGTCAAATCATACATATTTTGTATTCATCATTGAAAATAATAATAAGAAATTGTCTATAAACTATTTCAGGTCAATTTAAGGTTAAATAGTCTGTTCTTGTCTAGAAACTAATCATCATGCCTGCTCTCTTCCTCTCTCTCTTTACTTCTATCTCTTTCTCTTTGTAGACATATATTACCATTTCTCTGTTTGTTTCAATGGATATAAAATAAGATTCTGTCTGAAAAAGAAATGAGTCACTGATAAGGTCATTTCTATGAGATAATCAATATTTGAAGAACTGGGGAAAAGTTACTAGTGAACTTTTTTTGGCATCATCATCCTTTAAGAATACACTGAAAGAAAATAGATAATAGACAGACAGATAGATAGAAACAAGATATTGAAACAAGAAGGCACCAAATACATATGCGCCACACAAATCTTATTCGATATGTGCGAGGGCTGTGATACTGCCCGGGTGCCCAAACCGAAGCAGGTGGTTTTCTTAGGGGGCCACTCCCCGAGCCTTTGACCTAGAGGTCTTACCCACAAGGCAGTGGAGCATCGTAAGGCGATGCAGTCCCATGGTAGCCGGTGACCAAAGATTGGTTCATACGCCATTTGTTCCTGCAGGATACTGGAGCCCATGTGCACCATAGGTTTGTGATCCGGTTAAAGCGCCAGACATTCGCTTTTCGTCCTCTCATTTTTGTAAATAACACCCCCGCCACGAGAAGGCAGTGAATAGGACTTCCCTAGCAGAGGCTATATACGCGTGGCCATGTGAGAGCTTTTCGAGAGGGAGAGCGGACTTTCCCCACTCTCGGCCGTACCAGGGCATTTGGGGGCAACAGATAGATAGACAGACAGATAAAAGTGGGTATAATGATATGGATTACTACTCAATGATCAAGTCAGAATCTTCAATACGAATGTCAAAACAGTTCTACTGTATGGAGTTGAAACTTGGAGAAGTACAACAACCATCGTCAAGAAGGTACAAAGTATTTATAAATAGTTATCTACGCAAGATACCCAATATCTATTGGCAGGATATCATCAGAAACAAACTTCTGTGCGAGAGAACAAACTAGCTTCCAGCTGAAGAGGAAATTAGAAGATGTTGGAAATGGATAGGACATACATTACTCAAATCATCAAACTGCATCACGAAGCAAGCATTAACTTAGAATCCTGAAGGGAAGCGGAAAAACGGAAGGTCAAACAACACATTACATCGGGAAATAGAAACAGATATGAAAAGGATGAATAACAACTGGAAAGGATTGTCCAGGACATGGTTTGATGGAGAGTGCTGGTGGGCGGCCTATACTCCTCCACGAAAAGTAACAGGTGTAAGTAACTCAGTGATCAAATAAATACAAATATCCCAGGTCTACAGGTGGTCAATCGTTCGTGGAATAGCGCAGTATTAACGTTTCAGACTATTAAACCGAGTAAAATGGATTCATACCTTTCAGTGAGGAAGTGGGTTAGTGTTTAAAGGCTTTCAGTCGTCAAAACACTGAGTCCCAAGTTCGAACCACACTCCGTCTACTACTGTTTGGACAACTGAATCGTATTATTTTCCCCCATAATTAGAGTGTAGCTCATTCCTAAGTGCTTGGTGAATGAGTTAATCCAAACTTTTTAAAGGTAGTACCAGGTTTCACAGGAATGCTGCCACACCTTGTTGATAATTTTCAACTATCACGAAGCCTTGTTCGAAGAGTGTATCCTGCTAGTTGCCTACAAGCATCTTATATATAAGCATAGTGCATGTCATCTCGACTAATTATTGCGGATAGCCAATCTATATTTGATATACACAGTGGGCAATAAATACTCTACACACATGGTGTTAGTTGTAGTGAAGGCTACTTACAACATTGCTTGTAAATAATATGTTGCAGAACGTGGTCTCGAAGTTGTTTGATGCAATGAAGAGTTTCAGTACAGAAAAAGTGCGGTGTTGGTAGGACACTTGGAGACTAGATGAGAAGATTGTTTAGGCTGCGGAACACAGCAAAAGATGTAAATGGACGATTGAAGACTATGCATATGCATTATGTAAATGCTTTGTAACTTCTTCTAACAAATATGGATTCCGTTTACCCATTGCTTAATTTTACATTAGTTACCATAAATTCATTAATGAAGTTCAAACAATAATTGCTAGTTTTCAAGTGAAGTTCCTCAAGTGGTTGAGGGACTGGGTGATTGTGTGAGATTTCAAATTTACGGGACAGACTAGTTATTTTATTTAAACACACAAGGAGGTAGCAAATAGATATGCACCACACAAGTCATTCAAATTGTGTGAGGGCTGGAATACTGTCCGAGTGCCCAGACCAAAGCAGGTGGTTTTCTTAGGGGGGCTAATCCCCAAGCCTTCGACATGAAGGTCTAATCCATAAGGCAGTGGGTCAACGTTGGGAGATTCAGTCACATGGTAGCCAATGACAAACAATAGGTTCGTACGCCGTTTGTTCCTTCAGGATCGTGCAGACCATGTGCACGATTGGTTCGCAATGAGGGTTTTTCAACTCCTCTAGGTAGGTCATCCATACCCACTAAACCGGTTAAAGTATCGGACATTCGCTTTTCGTCTTGTCAATTTGGTAAACAACGCACCTGTCACGAGAATATAATGAGTAGGACTTCCCTAACAGTGTCTACATATACTTGGCTATATGAGAGCATTTCGATAGGGATAGCGTAATATCCCCACTCTTGGTCATACCATCATTCTGTTTAAATGAAACCCATTCTTATTGTTCTGTGCATTAAAAAGAATTTTTTTCTTTTGTAATCAATAAGATTATAATGGATTATACATTTCTTTGTACCCCCCCTCTCTCTCCCTCTCACACACACACCATGACGTTATTATTGGATATAAGTAGAATGAAAAAATTCTTGTACTGTCCCCTTCATTTATCTTATTTTTAAAGTACATAAAAGAGAAAAAAGTTTTTTTGTTGTTGTTGGTAAAAGCAAAGGGGGGGGGAAGTACATATTTTTCAAAGAGATCTAATTATTTTAATCACTTGGTTGTCATGAGGTAATAAGAAAAAAAACATACTCTCAAATTAAAAAAATTTAATATATTTTCTTTCTAAATAGTAGTTTAGTGAATAAGAACACATAGGGGAACAACCAAATGTATGTGAATGCAAAACTACAGAATCTCTTAGTAAAATCTATGAACCATTTAGTGAATACTTCATTTTCAAAATATCAGTCAATCATCTTAGACTTCATTGTTCCTTTGTTTCTACACCGATAATTCTCTTTTCTTCGATTGTCTTAACCTTCTACCGACTGACATTTCACTTTCGATTAATGATACATACTACTTATATCTGTTGATGTCGGTAGCACATACTACACACACGTCTACCCTTTAAAACAGTCGTTCTTGAGGTGATTCTGCTGGCTGTGTCATGTTCACCGTCAAAATGTCGAGACTGGGTTATTGAAATCCGACGTACACTCAGCACCCGGGATGCTCAATGCTTGTGTACCAGCAACTTTCCAAGCCATCTACATTCAATTTCTGCCAAGCAGCCACACGTCCCACCGCTCCTCTCTGTCGACAGCACTTGTCAAAACCAATGCCACCCGCCCGAACAGTCTACTCGACGTCATCTTCCTAAACCAGACCGCCCCAAATGGCACCTCAGCTTCAGGCCCGCAACGGCGTCTGCATGACGGCACCTTTCTCCTCTCTTGGTTGGCAGTGACACGAAGTTCAGGGAACGAGTACACAAGTGGGGACAATCAAATATATGTGAATACAAAATTACAGAACATATTAGTAAAATCTGTGAAGTATTTCTTTTGCAAAACGTCGATCAATCGTCTCGAACTTCATTGTTCCTTCGTCTCTATAGTAATCATTTCCTGTTCTCGTTCTCTTTTCTTTGATCTTCTTAACCTTCTGCCAGCAAGCATTTCACTTGCGATTGATGATACTACTTATATCTGTCGATATCAGTAGTACACACCATAATGTTATAATGCATTATTAAAGAAATGCAATTCAAATGATTAAAACTCAACGTAAAGTTGAGCTTAGATTTACGTCTGTTAGCTGAGATCTACAGTTAGACTTAGTGTAGTTCTTATACAAAAGCGTTTGTTCACAAATGTAAATGTAAATCGAGAAAATGAACATTTAATGTGCTAACAACTGATTCGTTGTTAAATGATGAATAGCATTCAATCAATGTGGCATGTTTGGCGTGTTCATTTAAGTTTTTATCTGACTACAAATGTATTGATTCCATCTGAAAATCGTGTTGAAAAAAAGGAATATAGAAGTTTGTAGTTTTGGTCTGAACGCTCATGAATTTTTGAAATATTCTGAAAAAATGTTAACTGGAAGCACTAGAGGGCCATCTCGTCCCAGTATGGGATTCCTTAGTAGTGATCATCCACGATCCCTCACACGGGATTTGAACCTGCGACCTTAGGTCTCGCTCGTGGACGCCCAATCTACTGATCACTATTGCGAGGCGGACGCTCAGTGCCTCCAGGTTTTCGAAGCCGAAGGCCCTGGGTTCGAGTCCCCCCTGAGAGGTCGTAGGTGCGCACTGCTGAGGAGTTACATCGTTTATGGCCCTCAAATGCCCTGATACGGCCGAGAGTGGGTAGAGTCAGCTTTCCCTCTTGAAGTGCTGCCCCATAACCACGTGTATATAGACACTGTCAGGGAAGTCCTACTAATTATGTTCTCGCGGTGGAGGTGTTGTTTACGCAATTTAGAGGGCGGAAAACTAATGTCCGGCGCTTTAACCGGGTAGGTGAGCACGGAAGATCTATCCAGGAAATTTGGATAACCCTGATTCTAAACCAATGGCACACATGGTCTGCACGATCCGTTAGGAACAAATGGAGTATGAACCAATCATTGGTCACCTGCTATCATGGGACTGCATCTCCTGACATTGCTTCACTGCTTTGCGGATCAGATCTTTAGGTCGAATACTCTGTGTGTGGCCCCCTAATAATAGCACCTGCTTGGGTTTGGTCACTCGTGCAGTATCACAGCTCACATACAAATCAAGTGACATGTATGTCGCATATGTATTCGGTGCCGCTTTGTAACATATATTTACCTGTTCCAATAAATAAATAAATACATAAATAAAATGGTGATCTTACATTGATTAGTTCATGAGCTCAATTAAATCTCAAAAACGTTCACAATCCTATACTGATAACACTATTTCGTATCTCAATTCGCTTATTTCTTGATTGTATGATATACTAGTTGAAGAGGTTTGTGGGGATATGCACGTCATTCAGTTGTTACACTGATCATTTAAGAATATTCTAATAAATATTATATTTACTTTTTGTTTATTCTCAACATTTAGGCACTTCATTACTAGTTGGTGGTCTTTACACTTATGATATATTTGCTGCTGTACCATGTTGTTCAGCTCATTTAACATGTGGTTCATGTCAATCACGTTTAGATAATTTATCACTATCATCCAATTCAACAATATCGTCCCCCTCCTCTTTAACAACAACAACTACCACTACTCCAACTACAAGTACATTACAATTATCATCAAATGATCTACCTTATCAACATCAATATCATGATCAAAATCAATTTCCAATCAATAATATTGATCAATCGATAAATAATCTTACAATTAAATCTTATCCATTAAATTATTTTAGTCAATATAGTAATTTAATTATTTGTCCATATTGTTCTAAAGTGGATTATCATTTTGTTAAATTATTTGAAGATTATTATGAAGTTAATAATTGATTATTAAAGTTCTTTTTTTTTTTGCATTTCAACTTCACTATCGTACAGGATCATTTCATTATACTTTTGATATTTTACTTCTCAGGGTGTTTTACTTTTTTTTGCTTTCTGTTTCAACAAGTTAATACAATCGAGCAATTCAAACAAACAAACGGACAAACAACACAAACACAAACAAACAGACAAACAACACAAACAAACAATACAAACACAAACAGCACAAACAAACGGACAAACAACATAAACATAAACAAACGGACGAACAACATAATTGATACTTGAGCTAGAAATATCATCCGATCACATAGTATTTTTTTCATTTTTCAGTTTGACCTTCAATTTTTACTCAGGTCAATGTTTTTAATTGTCTTTTCTTCTTCTGTGTGTGCTCAAGATCCATTTTATGATGAATGTTTTATTTTATTATTTATTTATTCATTTCAGTAGTATAATACATTTAAAAGAATAATACTATGCATATATGTATGGTAGTATGCAATAATTTATATCTATATATATATATATATACACTTGATTATATTGAATACATTGAAACAATGTTTAGAAACAAATAAAACAAAACAAAGTTGTTCATTTGTCAATATGTGTGTGTGTGACACAAAGCGCCAAATTGTAAAAAGAATCTCCTTGTTCAATGAAACTCAGTTTATATATCTATCTATCCATATCTATATCTATATCTATATATATATATATATATATATATATATATATATATATATATATATATATATATATATATATATATATATATATACATGATTTTTGTCGTTAGCGTTTTTTTTAAGCGTGTTCATTATCTACTGGATGTGGTTGCTAACTCCATATCCAACTGTTTTCCTTTATCCAAGCTTTGGATCAGCATTAATCCCAGAGGGGGCGGTGCCTATTTAACTATTATAAAGTCAATATTACAAATCATTTTGTCTAATTCAATTTCTGTTTTAAACAACATATAGGTTTATATATTCAAATCATGTTCCATTCATTGTTTACATTATTTTTGTTGTTGTTAAAAAATGATGAGAATGAATAGTTTAAGTTTTTGTTTCCCGCCAAATGTCTATTTTTTTGTCAACGTTACCAATGTGAAAGCCTTTCATTGTTTTATTTTTTTTTGTTAGTTGCCTATTAAAAGTAAATTGATTAATCATTATTATTACGTCATAAAGTGTTACTAGCATTATTTATTTATTTATTGAAGACATGATAAGTAATGAAATCTCAGGGGGGGTGGGGGTTTGTTTATACCCATTTCTTTCTCTTCTCTTTCCCCAGGTATATTTATGTTGTTTTTAATTTAATAAAATCAATTATAATTGTTATAATCAATTGTTTATTGATTTATTTTCTCAAGGTTAAAGAGTTTTGGCTTGTTTAAGTTAAATAATAATTATAGTTGGTAAAGCTTTCTGGAAAAACCGACAAGCTTATTTGGATAATGTTTTTCAATCAGGAGCTTATAGATGTCTTCAGTAGTGAGCTATTTGATATTGAAATTGTATGAATATTAATGCTAGGATTTAAGGTACTATTATAGTGTGTGTTACTTATATCAACATGAGTAGTATGTAACGATAGTTAGGAATAGAATGTATTTCAGTAGAAGGTCGAGAAGGAAAGTATGAGGATACAAAGCGATAAATATGAAAATGCAGGAATGATGAAGTCTGAGATGATTGACTGATATTTGCAAAAGGAACAGTCAAGTGTGAGACAGTTAATTGGCATTTTGCAAATTAAGCATTTACTGTACGGTTCTCAGATTCGACTATCTCTACTCGTGTTCTTGTTCACACACTTATTGTACAACAGTTGAATGATGGTCGACAGTAATGGCTGAAAATTCACCAGATGTCTGTTCATTGATATTAAACTTCTGCAGGTCCACTGATAGTTCTCTTGGTATATTTTTTATATTAGCTAAATGATGGTAGGTATAATTCAAAAGACTTAGTTATGAAGAATTGATGAAAAAGATTTGTAGCTCAAGTCGATATATAAATTATTCGTATTTGTTGATGTCACAAAATGAAAAACGATCAGTCGAACAGAGAAGTATTACATCAAGTAATAGTGTTGAGTGTGCTACTTAGTTCGACATAAGTAGTATATAACACTAGTCAGGAATAGAATGTGTGGTAGCAGAAAATCAAGAAGATCTAAGAGGAAAGAATGCGAACAGAAAGCAAAGGATATGAAAATTCGGGAATAATGAAGTCCGAGATGATTGACTGATATTTGCAAAAGGAGCAGTCAAGTGTGAGACATTTAATTGGCATTTTGCAAATTAATTACTTAATGTATGGTTCTCACATTTTAGTAAGGTGTTTTGTGAATGAATAATAAAACTATTATCCTCAAGCAGCACTCAAAAACGTCCTAATAGTAGATCAAAGAGCTATTCTACTCGTGAAAAGCTATCTCAAGATACCTATCACCAACTACACATTTGTGATTAGATAGCTATTTAGTAAAATCCGCCTGTGTGCTATTTGTACTAAGTGATGATTTTTTTGAAATCGATTCTATGCTCATTATAATTTCCAAATGTAATACGTTCAGTTACGCTCATCTAGTTCCGCCTGCCTTGAACTACACTCTTTCGGGACTTTCTAGTTATAAAACCAATCTGAATACTGCTAATTACCATACATAGCCAGCTCGGTCGTGAACTTTGCAAAGGTTTATTGAAAAGTCGACATGTTACACAGTAATGTCCCGTAGTCGAGTAGTGAAACTACTTCATGATGCTCGGGTTTTCATATCCGCTTCTGGATCTGTGGAACGTAAGAAGTAGCTTTTATCTGAGTGTTTAAAGAAATGTACAAACAGTATTCAGCCAGTACTTTATCTTTCAAAAAATGCTGTGTTCTGCTTCTACGTTTTGCAATTACCTCCTCAATCCTAGTATTACATATAATATTAGCATATTCTTTTCCAATGTTATTGTCATAATTACTAATGGTTTGATTGAATATGATATACTTTGTACAATATGCTCTATGCACTTAAAAGAAGGTCTCCTAAAAGTTGTTCATTTAGGGACGTGCATTAGGCTATCAATGAAAGTGTGAAAGCCCTAAGCTGTCTTCCATTTACTGGTTCTGGGTAAGTTGGAATATTTATCAGGCTATGGAATCGGTCATACTATGTATTGTTACTTCATTTGACTGTTTTCTGTTGTTATTACATATATGTATTATCTTCTGGCTGCTACCCGATAAAAATTGTTTGACAGGAACACACTCAAAGAGGACAACAGAGATTGTCAAAGAAGTGTCTTGATCTTACTTATTTTCAAAACAACTCGTTCATTAGAATAAATATTATTGTCTATGCTCTTTCTTCATTTTTATAACAAAACTTCTTTCATTCACAGCTCAGACTTCTGCATAGCAATTATAATATAACCAAGTGAACGACTGCCTGGTGATGTTTAGGTTATCTTGTAATGGTGCTGTCTCATAACTAAACGATCTTTGAAGTACAACACATAACAACTAAGGAAAGTTACATTCAGTGTTTAAAATTTAAAGAAGGTGGGAAATAATGAGCGGAGAAATACTTATTCAATATAGCATAGCTTGACAGTGCAGCCGTGGTCACTTTGTGTAACTCCTTCCATTCCATATTAAATATATTATTCAACCTCCAGCTTAAATTTGTTCTTCAGAAGTCCTAAACACCTTACTGATGACTGTCACAACAGGACAATCCAGTATATAGAATGATGTGATTCCACGTAAGATCCTATAGAATAAATAGTCACATTATGGCTAATCTGAGACTTTGGGTTGGTTCTATTATTCTAGTAGCATAGCGAGATGCAATCATATGAACTAAGATCTTGATCGTACAATATTCCACAACTCTATTCTCTTGGAGCAAACAAGGTAGTTTGTGTTCAAAATATATCAGTTTACAAATACTCATCTAATCCGCCGAAACTGCTGCAACACAATGGCTTGACTGACCTCACAGAAACCCACTGGTTATCTACGAGCGTCTTTTAAGAATAAGATGAGTGCTCAAAGATATCAAACGGTTTGTAACAGCACAGTATTGTGTTGGCCATTAAACACTCAGGAAAGTCACTAGTATGTGACAACACCCGCTCAGCGATTCTGAAACATGCGTGCAACCTAATTAGGGGCTCACCAGAATCACAACAAATTTCAGGAAAATGAAAATCGTCTGCTCTCCCTTCAATATTCTTAAATGGAGAATAGAAAAATCTAACCTATTACAGGCTGGTCATAATACCCTCAGCACTTTCAAGGGTAATAGGAAGACTGGTGGATGATCAGACTACGACGTACACAGAAAAGCAAGGGGATTCATTCAGCGAAGTGTTCGTAGTGGTAACGATTCCTAACCACACGATCTTTAGACCCGAACATGAGAGAACTGAGAAAATTTACATCCGATGTATAACGCAGAAAGAGAACCAGAGATGGTTAAGGAGGGAACAATTGTTCAGTGTGGCATCAATCGACCTTGAAGGTATGGTCATTCTGTGTAATTTATCCCTGTTCACAGAAAATACACTGTTCTATCCCCAGCCAAAATATGTTCTTCAATACTGCTAAACGTCTTGTTGCTGATTTCACGATAGGACGCGTCATTATAGGCAATGATGTGACTTCCATGTATGATCTTCTAGATTGGGTAATCACGTCTTGACTAATCTACAATTCTAGGATTAGATCTATTATTATTAGTAACAGAGATAAGTGTACTGATACCGAGTTAGGCCACGATTCTACATATTCTTCTCTTGGCGAATTCATTTTCAAAGCTGCACAATCAAAAATATATACTTGTTTCCCAAGGTGATAATAATTACAATTACTAGTGTTAATAATATCCGGGTAAACATTGTAACAGTGAGGTAGAATAAACAAAGGTTTCGAAAGGCTATTTTTTAGTAGGGAAACTCATATTAGTTTTTTGTTGAGGACTTGAATATTCATTATGAAGATAGATAGTAAAATTATAATTGGGTACGGAAAGCCTAGCATGATCAGATATAACGTTAAATTGAGATGAAATGTGACCAGGAGGGTTATTATAACAGAAATAAAGCAGATGGTGGTGGAAAGTCCATAGGGAATGTAGAAAGAGGGAACGACGGGAAAACAACATCATCCATGAAGTTCAACACAAATCCAGGGAAGGTCACTGCTTAACGTTCAGTCTTCTCATAACTTGCGGCCGATTAATCTGTCATGACCAAAGCATATCGGTCCGTGTAATATCCATCGACTTTAAGGATTAGATGCTGAGCCTCAAGGTACGCAGAATGCATGCGAGCTGAAGAGTCCAAGCATCTTGAATTTAACATGGAGTCATATAATAACTACTGCTCTTCCTGATTTTTATTAACGGCGTCCTAGATAAAACCAAACCTATGACCTTCAAATACTCTGACGATGTACAGAATAGATGATCCTTTGCAAATGAAAAGAATTCACTGAAGCTTCGAAAGAATCTTAAAACAGTGGGGGAAAGGGCAACAGACGATGGCTAAAAGTTTAACCTATCAAAATATAATGTTATGAGCACTTCAGGGGACACAAACAACTTATATTATCTATGATAATCCTCTTATGATTATTTTTCCAGAGCATGCTCTTGGTCTTTCGGTCAAAGACAACTCGGAAACTAGCCCGAAACGCATTCGAAATGCAGCCTAATCAAATTCACTTCATTTTGTACGGATACAGCTTGGTCTGGTCAACTTGGAATTGTTTTTTCGCCCTTCGCTTCATTGTTTTGATATTATGACCAAACAACCCCTTGCCTGGTAGTAAGACAGCTGTTGGTTCTAGAACAATCAATCCTCTGAAACGGATGCACGCATTCGAATCGTAAGACACAAATTCGCAAAAACTGACTAAAATTAGTAGGGTCTAGCGGTTAGACTGCTGCTCACTGGATACTACTGCAGACCTTAAACCTCATCGAGAAAATGAAAAAAAGAGCTCAAAAGATAAAAAAGTAAATACAAATGTGTCTTAAAAGTGTTGAATATATGATATTAATAGATAAAGCGCCGGAAACAAGTCTTGCGTTACTCAAGTGTTATTTTCATCTTCCTGTATGTTATACATGTGTTTATCAATTTTCGTGTGCAATTTTTACCTTGCTATCCATTATTTATCTCAAAGTTTTCGATATACAGTAGTATCACGTTGACATATGTATCCGCAGTAGATGAATTTTCATCACTGGACCAGTATTTCGCATAAGTTGCTTTCAGTAATGCTTATGATGAAGTAAAGTTGTTGTGTCTGCTAGGCCAAACAGTTTTCCTTCGAGCATTTTCTAGCTGTATATCTGGGTACTCAAACTTCTGATCGGAATCACGTTTGTTGGATGCAGTGTGTATATGATTTTAATAGTGGACGATTCCTGGTTAGTTAAAATAAAGTAAGATAGTGCATATTCATACTTTGTGTTCTTAGTTACTTGTATACCTACCTGGAATCTAAAATTCCCATTAGAGCTGAGATTGTTGCAACAGTCATAAGACCGTTTTAGAATTTTATGGTGAATTCCTTAACATTCACTAAACCATTTGAAGTTAATGTTACAAGTCTCGAACAGTTGGTTCATCAAAAAGATAAGTTATCAGTTGGGTGCCACCTATATTCTCAAGTTGCAAACCGCATATTCTATATGGTGAACCAAATATCGAAAATCCGATCCGGAGTAGATTTCAAACTTTTAATCTAACAGACTAAGTCCTAAATTTCAGCATCCTAATTTTCTAATTGGTTCATATTATCGGTTTCCTTATGGATGATAATGAAGAGCAAGTGAGTTGTGTGGGTAACCTGTGTTTCTTGGTTAGTATTGAGAGTTGTATGTTTGTGTCATAATATGTTTCAAGCGGTTTACTTTTAAAATTTGCTTTTAGTTGCATTGTCTTTCAAACAATGGGTACTGCAATAGATGTCCTAGATATTCTCGATCTGAATGAATCAAGTCCCAGAAAGTCTATGCTTGATAGAGAAGCCATTCTGAGTCGTGCAGAGAAAGTAAGTACAAATTATTTCGATTTCAAATGTTATTAACATTGTAGAGGAAAAATTCTCGCCCTAACCCGCCACCAAAAAGACCCGATCATGTTCCTCGTGAAGTTTGGGGCTTACATAGCACTCTTAACAAGTGAGTTTTCATCTCATTAAAATAACATCCTGATTCAAAAAATGATCGTCCGTTGAATTTTATAGTTGTATGTATTTAGCTATTAGCTTATCTATCCATAAAACTACTGAATCATACCCATCTTCATTTATTTTAACCAGAATTACGATCTTTATGTTTAGAGAATTGACGTACATATAATCATCAGACTGAGCTTTTTCTTTCAGTATATGTATTAGTTTTGTGTTTAAACGAAAGAAGTACATGCTATTGTTTGAGCTTTACAAGTTATTTCAGCGACTAGTTCACACTCAAACTCGTCTTTTGTGCGATCGTTTTTGTATAATGGTGTAACGGTTCGGTAAATCAGTGTCATGCAATTGGTTCCCTTTACGAATTCGAATAAAGCCATAACAAACGTCGATGCAGAATAACGTGAATTCATTATATTTCGATGTATCTCGTCAGATGCCCACAACCATATATATATATAAGAACAGGTTAGAGGTCATTTGGTATAGGAATTCAAAAACATAAGGTTTGGGTGATGAGTTCATTAAATGAGATCTGGAGACATGCAAGATCGATTGTGTGTCATAGTAATTGAAACATTTTACCTGAAGCTAGTGGGCCAGATGTTTGACGCCCTCTCTACGTACTTCAGTTTCCTCAGTTGGGTATCATCACCAGGCTTCACACGAGCAACGTGAGTGAAATGGTGTGTACGCTAAAATATATTTGGTATGAGACAGAAGTATCCCATAAATATCATTTCTAAGCACTTTCCAACTTGTCAGTACTTGTTGTGGAGTTTGTTAAGCTTTATTGAGATTATGAACCGATCAATGTTATGCCATCATTCAAAACCAGAAACAAAACGGTCATCCAGTGCTTACATGTTTTCAATGGCGTTCTAACATTGATCGGTTTATGATCTCAATAAAAACCTTTAAACTTGTTTGAAAATAATACAGTTCGTATCGCGATGTTTTCAGCACTAAAGTATTTATTATATATTAATCCATTTATTTATATCTTCCTTTGAAAGTTAACTGATAATCGAGCGCGTGTATAGCCCATTATCTCCATGTAATTTTTTTGATACATACTTCCCTTTATCATCGTCAAGAGAGCGAAAACGAAGACTTGAGAAGAATAGTTTGAGTTCATTTTTTGTTTGGTTCTCGTCCGCTGCTTACAACTTGTACTATTTAACAAGCTGACATGATCAGGGTGTCAGTAAACTTAATAGACTAAATAGGACGTAAGTATATATCTTGTGTGGAAAAACATTCTACAACATTGACAGGCCAAAGAGCTAGGAACAAGTGATTACACAATGAATAAATGCTAATACTATGCGGGAATAAAATAAGTAAAGCTTAGTTCAGACAAGACTGCCGATCTAGAAGACAGTTGAAATACAAAGACTTGCTGATACAATTAATTGAAAGCTGAATAAAATTTTACTGTTTAATAAAGAAATATCGGTCACCAAGACAGAGAAAGATTAACAACCATCTCCTTTTAAACACATTGGTGGGATTCCTGAATCCCTATAGTAGTGGCTTCAGCAAGTTTCGAATGGCCGGAACTTGGTTGTTTATTATTCGCTTTGAAAGATTTCAAGGCATCGACGTGATTTCTTGTGTCACATTGGTTCATATCTAGTTGTTGTTCAGCATCATTACTATTGAATTCTATAACGAAACTAAATGAATAACAGTATAGTGCATTGTTTTAGATATCTTGAGCAGTCGGACGTTGAGAACCTAAACGTTGTAGATATTTAATATTGATTAGAGAGACTTGTCTAAAAACTAGGAAATATGTACTCTGAAGCTCAAACTTATGTAGCTCAGTCTGTCATTTATCCAAAGGTTTGTGTTTCTATACTGAATAATGAACAATAAAGGTTTAATTCTTAAGGAAGACCGTAGTCTTTTAAAGTCACAGTTTTCTCACTGCATAAATATGGTGTATAAAGCTATTCTGAAACAATCTTTAGCTAGCGAATTTCCACTTTTCGTTAGTTTTAACTATTGACCAGTCAATCAATCAAACGCAACATAGAAATTGGCACATATGTACATCAATGCAAGTTGCCATACACCATTAGTACAGTGCGATGAAATTGTTAGTGCCAATCCCATTAATAGTGGTGATAACAGTATTAATATTAATTTCTGCATTTGCTAGTGGATTAGGATCTGGGAAATTGTGAAAATGAAAATATTTCACCGGAAACTAACCAACCAAAAACAAGAAGATTAACTGTCTTTGATAAAAAATAGATTTGGTTGCACCGCAGTCAGTTAAATGCAATGTAGAACCTAGCACATGTGTACATCGGTTCAAGTTACCATGCAACATTACTACAGCGAGATTAAATTATCAGGGCAAGTCCCAGAGTAGTAGAGGTAGTAGAAAATATTGATCATCGAGAAGAGAATACAAATTAGTGAAATTAAAACAAACTGATGAGGAATTTATAAATTTAGGATTTGAAAGAAGAAAACGAGTGGATGATGAAAGTCTTTAACAAATGGTTACGATATTCAGGTAAATCACAACCAGGCGGTGTACACTCAGGTACATGGCTCAGTTTTACAATCAGTGTCTTTCATGGACTGATATAATGTGTTGGTTTGGCCACTTCAAGCTCTTTTCCAACCTACTCCTACACCAGGCATCATCTCGCGTCAATTTAGTCGGTGGATAGACATACGTAATACACGTGTTAACTGTATCAGCCGATAAAGATTCACTACCTTGTCAAATGATTTGCTATAATTATCTATCACTTTGTATCTAACCTCAAAATTACTAACTCAATGGTTCCAAAATATATGAACAATCGTTCAACGATGCCTATAATCAGTTGAGGTCGTTCTAATTCAGTGTTGTGTATTGTAAATATCCAATAAATATTTGATTGGGATAAGTATTTGTAGTCGTCAAACTATATATTTCATTTTGAGTCCTACTGTAGCAGATGTTTTACCAATTCTTCTATTTTTGCGTTTAGTAATCTTCCTCCGATTATGCCAACTGATAATACACCTCTTTATAAACAACCCAAAGCTGTGATTGGTGTAGGGCGAGTTCGTTCTTGGCAATGGACACCATTTACAAATTCCGCTAGACAAGTTAGTCTTTTGTATTTAAATACTATATTGCATAATTTTTGAGTGAGAATGCTGTCTTTTTATTCCTGACTAGTAAACACTTCGAGTTTTTTATATAGTTTATCAGTTACTCAGTAGGTTGTAAATAGAATGTTGATAGGGACTGTTTTGTTTTTTTCAACACAAATCAGCTCCATTTGCTATCAATTTCGGAGATTGCATTATTGACTTATTTAGCCCGCATTTGGACTTTTGTACTGTAAACTCGAAAGGCGAATTAAATAAGCACGTACTCAGTAAATATGCTTAATGTTCCAAGAGCTGATTTAATGGTCTCCATGCATAAAATGTTAATGTAAGAAACGAGGCTAACGTTTGTAGTCGATCATTCACGTTAAACTCAACTTTACCAATCTAATTAAATCCAACCAGTTATTGATTTCAAATACTTAAGTATAACTTAATTGTCCAAATGCCCTGGTATGGCCGAGGATGGGGGAAGAGTTCGTTCCCCCCTCGAAATGGTTTCATATGGTCACGCGTATATAACCACTGACAGGGAAGTCCTACTCATTACCTTCTCACGTTAGGGGTGTTGTCTACGAGATTGAGAGGACGAAAAGAGAATGTTTGGTGCTTTAACCCGGTTGGTGAGTACGGATAATTCACCCAGGGAAGTTGGGAAGCCCTGGTTCCAAACCAATGGTACACATGGGCTACAGGATCCTGAGGGAACAAATGGAGTATGAACCTATTTTTGGCCACAGTGTACCATGTAACTGAATCTTCTAATGTTGCTCCACTTCTTCGTGGATTAGATCTCCAAGTCAGTGTCTCGGGGTGTGGTACCCTAAGAAAACAACCTACTTTAATTTGGGCATTTGAATTATTGTTCATGCGTTTTTTAACGGCACACTAAATTTGTCAATATCTTCATTGGTAGTTTTTATTGTTGCACGTACACTTGTAGTTCATATAACAGATTAATTTTGTCTAAAGGAACATCGAAGACCAATCAACTCTTCATGGCTATTTTATCTTAGCGCCAACAATGTGGATCATATATCCTACCTGCAATCGAGTCAAAGATCTTCAAATTTTGCGGCGAACATGCTAGGTCATTTAGTTGTGATCCAATAGTTTACATTTTAAATTACTGTCGATTCGCGATACTTTATAACCATTATCCATTAGAATTACTGATACACAATCAAATTTTTTTGGTTACTGTCTTTCGCTAAAGTATCTATCTCAAAGTTAGTCAATCCACTATATAAATTACGCGTTGAGTAATCCCTTTAAACTTTATATGCTATTTGTACACTACTAAATATTGTATTACAGTCTATCTTTATTCACAGTGAAACACCGTAATAATAATTAACAGGAATGTTCTATTTATCAAGATTTACAATTGAATTAACATAGTAGATTATGTCTTGGATACTTCATTTTTCTCTTACTAGGATAATTTAGTCTTATATCATTGGAGACGAGAAAGCGCTGATCCAGAGGCTAATAAAGATTATTATTTTGCACGATACAACAAGGTAATATATTGACACTATGTGTATCAAATCATTTCTTAACTATACACTTTTTCAAAATAAAGCTAAACTGCTTAATATCATATGAAGCATTTTGGTATGTTTTCTGGAGATTAGTTTTAGGATGAAAATAACTTACTCTTACGGATTCACATCAGCTCAGTCACTCGATCATAAGCAATGTGTAATTTGTCACATATGCACCCACCCAAGCTTCAACATCCCATCAGTTCAACGAAATCAAATAATCATGCTAAGTAGAAATGGTAATACCACATCAAACATTGAAAATATGGTTCGAGAAGAGATAAATCAAAAGCGTAACTTATGATGTAGGGTTAGATAAAAGGGAATTAATCTGCTCCATTGAGACTGATTCTAAGTTATGCTACACAACCATTGTTTATGATAGTCGGGTTGACCACAGATAGGTAATCTGCACCTACCAATGTGGCTCAAATAAACAGATAATCACTTCAGGAACTGATGTATTGTCACTATCTGGTGAAAATAAAGAAATATGAAACGGTTGTTTGTTTCCCGTTTGGAACTACGCAGAAGTGAATACCTCATTCCCCTGCCATGAACCAAACCTACGACAATCAAGCCCTGTAGCGGTCACTTTGTTTTTAAATCCCTAAGTCGATATTTCTTAGTTTATGTTTTGAAATCATCCTAATTCTCTATACTACGCGACGATCACAAATTACCATCAGTGACACATGCTCCATTCTCCACATAGTCAAGAGTAATCCCCATAGTTCTAATTATAATTCGTAACAAACCTCTGAGGTTCGATAGTGTGCTTTAAAAACCTAGTGTTTATGAAAATATCCTCTTGAAATACCTCCTTCTGGTTGGTTACTTTTTGTATATTTAGCCATAACAGCTTCCAAACTGCACATTATTTGCTAACGTTTGGATTGGGTGAAGAAACCGGTGAGGTAGTCACTTTATGATTTAGTACTGTGCAATAATGCAAAGTCATGTTGAATTATTATCTGTTGATTTGTCATAATTCCTTGGTGTTAGATTTCAATAATCACGTAGCTTAGTGAATTGAAACCTTATCAGAATGGTAACTAGTGACAAAACTGTTGGAAGTAAAACTGCATCATGCCATATGCCTTACTTTTAAAATTCATTTACCATGTATTGTTTCGACATTTTGTTAAGAAACTCTACTGTTCTTATTTCATCACGTTAATAGTATAATCTTATTCTAATTCAAAGTGATGAGGATTAAACAAGGTGACCTATGTATGCGATATAACTAGTACACAACGTATTAATTCTAACTGTATTAAAGCCTTATGAACTTAGCGTTTCTTTCAGATGAATTCTAACAGTTATTTTACTAGTGAAATCGATGTGTCACTATACTTTTCTTTTGTTTTACTCAAGTTATTTTCTTGTTATTTATGTCTTGTGAAAAATTGGTGTTAGCATGTCACTGTTCCTGAATACACTACCGAAGAGTACGAAACAATGCTAAAGGATCTAAAATGGAGTGAAGAGCGTACGGCACATTTGATGGAATTGGCTAAACGTTTTGATTTACGTTTTATTCATATGAGAGATCGATGGGATTGTGAAAAGTTTCCTGGACGTCCATCTGTTGAAGATCTCAAAGAAAGATATTATGGAATTCTAACACAATTAGATAAGGTAACCCTAATGTTATTCTTATATTTTCTCTATTTTTGTTGTTAAAAAACTGGACTTTAAATGTTCAAGCATTAAACGAGCTATCGTTTTTAACGCACTGTAAGGCAAAATCATCCGTATACTCACCTATTGTTGGTTACCGGCTACCATGAGACTCCATCTTCTGACGTTGCTCCACTGCTTTGTGGATTAGACCTCTAGGTCAGTGTCTTAAGGTATGGTCCTTTAAGAAAACCACTTGCTTTAGTTTTGGCGCCCGGTCAGTATTCTATCCTTCACACAAATCGAATGATTTGTTTTGTGCATATATGTGTTTGGTGCCTTATTGTACCAATGTTTATGTGTTTAGATAAATAAATAAATAGAGAGAACATTCACACCGCTGGATCCCGATTCAGCGGTTTGAGGTTAAGCGTTTGTGCGTAAGGTCGAAAATCCTGGGTTTTATTCCTCGTGATTAGGTCATGAATGCACACTGCTGAGGGGTCCCATACTAGGACGAAACAGCTTTAAAGTGCTTTCAGGTTTTCATTGATGGTCTAGCTAAGATCAGTTCGTGGTTTCAAAATTGTAATGTATATGTTCGATCTACTTTTTTGGTGTTGTATATTATTTCCATTATCTGTTTAAAAATACTTCTAATAAATACATTTCACTGACAAGTGTCTATTGGTATAAAACCTAAGTGAAGTAAGAATTCCTACGAATCATTTCAATTATCAAGTACTTATTTTTACGTCTGATTATACATCTTAAGGCTCGTGGAACAAATCTTTCACAAGGTCTACGATATGATGCAGCACATGAACGTCGACGTAAACAACAATTAAGTTTACTTTATGGTCGTACAAAAGATCAAGTTGAAGAAGAACAACGTTTAATTATGGAATTGCGTAAAATTGAAGCTAGACGTAAAGAACGTGAACGTAAAAAACAAGATTTACAAAAACTTATCTCATTGGTAAATGTACATTTTTTAAGGAAAATTTTATGCTCTTTGGTAAATTTGTTTCTTTTATTGTTCTCTAGTGGAATTACTTCTAAATCTTACAGTATATGCAACGTAGTTAATGGAGATCTCTTTTATAAAGTCTATAGACGTTTAGTAAATAAACTGTAGTTTACGGTAATAAAACAGTGTTTGAAGATTATTTATTATTGATCACCGATTAGCGAATATCCGGCGCTTTAATCGGGTTGATGAATGCAGAGGATTTACGTAGGGTGATTGGAAAATCCTCATTCCGAACCAATGATGTACATAGGCTCCAGGATCCTAAGAAAATAAATGACATTGGTCACCAGCTACCATGGTACTGCATCTCCTGACGTTACTTCACTGCCTTGTAGATTAGACCTTTAGGTCAGTGTCTCGGGTTGTGGCTCCCTAGAAAGGCCAGTTACTTCGGTTTAGTGGGAACCCGAGCAGTATCCCACCCCTCACAAAAATTGAATGATTTATGTGGCGCATATCTGTTTGGTGCCTCCTTATGCCAATGTTTATGTGTTTAAATAAATAAATAAATATCTGTAGATAACAAAACTGACTGGATTATTGTCAGTTATCGAGAACACTTTGCTCGCCTTTTCCACCACTAGGTCTCTAGTTCGAGCCCCATTGCACCTACTTTGGGTTAGGAAACTCTGGATAGTAATATCGTTAGTCCTCGTCCTTAGAGGGTAGCTCATATCTAATTACACAAAGAATGAGTTAAACTTGAGAAAAATTTACATACTATGGAAATATTGATTGACTTTTTAGTGTACAAAGTACAAAGTTTGTAATATTTTTTGTTATTATTATTATTATTTATGTAAAACTTAATGAATGCCAATTATTTCTCAAACCAGTTCCTTTTCATCTTGGTTTTATTTTGTAGGCTGACAGTGTAACTCGGGAATGTGAATTATCTGAGCATACAGGTTATGAGACGAATACAGATGATACAAATTCTTGGCTTACATCTACACACTCGTCTGTTGGCGGTGGTTTATCATCTTCCAATAATTCATTGTTAACATCAACAACACTAACAGGAAATACTGGATTACAACGTAAACGACCCAGTGGTGTTAGTGGTTTGAATGCTAGTAATAACAATATTGGAAATATTACGTCATCTAGTCAGTTAATTGGAAATACAAATTCATTCATCAATACAGATTCCAGTTGTACTAATTTAACAAGTCTAGGAGTAGCTGGTGGTGCTAATACTGGAGCATCGATATCCTCCGGAGATATTTGTGCTTCGTTAAATTCTGCCTCGAATACAGCTAATACTGCACTAGTGAGTTGAAAGTATTCCTTGACTTAATTCATGTTATTAAGCGTTATAGGTACTTGGATTTAAGGCACAGAGTTTATGTGTGTATATAGGTGAGGCTTGTGATTCTTTTTTATGTCCGTTCAAACTGAATTCAATGGACGCTGGGTTTAAATGTACAACCTATGGATTGAAAATCAAGATTCCTTTGTTTCATAGTCTGAAGTCAATTTAGACAACGATGTGTGAGTCAATATACATTAGTGATTAATCATTGTAATAAGGTGTTATAGCTAATATTAGGCCTATATAGTCAATGATTTCATGAAACAGTCTGACATTTTAATTTGACCATCTTTAGCTTTCTTACAACCTACACTGCTACTCCAATTAACACCGCTCGTCTAAGTAGACAGTAGTTGGACAGGTCTTAAAATTCAAGAGTCTATAGCTGAAACTATACTAAGAACTAAATGTATCCAGTGGTTTTACGCGACTTGTGAATCTTCTCAAGGTTTATAGTTGGTTCCTTTTTTCTGAAAGCTGACAAGTATCACTACAATAAACTTACTCATTTAAGAGACGGTTATCCAAAATTTGTCCAGATAGCTTAGTCATAAATAATGTTGAATATCATTTCTCATGGTTTCCAGAATGCCATGTATGTCAAGTCATTCTTAGTGAAGATTAAATTCTATCTTGACTAGTGGTCACATTGTAACTTGATCGATAGAATTCGATCTTCACTAAGAGAGATTTGATATACATGACATTGATCTATGTAAACTTGTGACATAATGGGTATACCGAGGAACTCCATTCAAGACTGACGTATGCTAACAAAGAATGGTAAAGATCCCGTCTTAATATCGAAAATTTTTCTCTTCCATATTGTGTTTCTTCTCAAAAACGTTTCGATTTGAATTTTCGTGTTTTTTTCTCCTTCAGAATACACAATATTCAATAAACTTTTTGGATGTTAGCAAAAATCCCGGTGCTCATCTACGTAGTCAAAAGGTAAATGGTGTTTGTTTACTTCGTATAACTCATCACTGATGAATAAGGCCTAATTTTTACACACTACTATTAATCTTTCTAAATTATTGTACCATTTTATCATTGTTTGACAAACCTTATTACTATTCAGTGTAATTGTAAAGAAGCTATGAGTATAGTCATATCAAGACATGACATCAGTTTGTGAAGTTACTTGACTTTTAGTCGTTTAAGTAAGTGTATACTCCTTAATTGGTTCCGGCAAAATACTCTTTCTTAATGATTATTGTTATAACTTCTGACCGCTGATTAGAGAGCAGTGACTTATCGATCGGACCAATAACGCGTAAACCCTTATGAGCAGTCTAGTTTCCTGATTGGTCCTGCTTTCCGCCTAGCCCAACCGGTTTAGTCCAGAACGCAAATCTCAGCCTCTGCAATATGAATCATTATATATCAAGCATACTGAGTTTATATACCAATCAAACAGACCACAACGTACCATAAAATAGAAAACAACATATGTACAAGAATTAGCCAGATGTGGCTGTGAATGAAAGGGGTAGTAATTAATAGACAGGGCATAATTCAAGAATGGTAAATGGTATAATAATAGTTCATAGGTCAAAACAAAGCTCATAATAAGTGGGACACGGATATGAATCGTTTAGTTACATAACAATTATACGATAAAAATATACGTATAGTATTGGTCCATAATAGATCCCAAAAGTTACAATTCATTATGCTTATCGGGACCTAATAATTATTGGCATTGGATATTTACAACTTGAGTTAATTGTCACTTGTGGTTTTTAATTCTTCGATCTCATTTCTTTTCTTTTTTGAAATGCCGTTTCAGTTAGAATCGATTCCTTCTTATTTGGCACTTATTTTACGATGATGCTTCATCTCTCACACTACATTGATGTGATATGTGTGTACTCTTGGATTAATAGAAGGTTGTTTCTAGGCCCTACATTGAGTATGATGAATAAATGGATGAAACTAGTCTTGTTTATAATTTATTAGTTCCCCCACTCTTTCTCTCTCTTATCTTTGTCGATAATTAAAATGTGAATAGCCTTACATGTTCACAATGTAGTGGACATGCATGATTAGTACGTTGCTCCACGGTCTTGTGGATTAGACCTTTAGGTCAAAGGCTCGGGGAGTGATCCCCTAAAAAACTACCTGCTTCTGTTTGGTAGTTTGAGCAGTATACCAGCTCTCATACAAATCAAATGATTTGAGTGGCTCATATATATTTGGTACCTCGTACCAATGTTTATGTGTTTAGATAAACAATAAATAACGTTAAAATAAGACAAGATTTATTTTCAGTGTTTACACAGTTAGAAAATTGAAGTTTGTACAGGTAGTCAACCCTTTGGACCGTTTGTAGTATAAAAAATTTGGAATTTTCACTGGTACTTACAGATTGTTACCTAATTGTTTACCATCGATAATGCCTGTCTCACACCCTGGGACACGACTGAACTCTACTGCTCGTGGTTTCTTATTAGAATTCTTGAAATGTCAGAACAAGATAGTTGTTGATTACTCTGTGATTTCTCCAATGTTGTATAGCTAGAAAAGTCAGTTTGTGGTGCAAACTAACTATTGAACAATTATGAACTTTTCATACTAATAATGCCCATAGAAGGCTGACCAGGATAGCGGGCAAATCAAGACATCAGTTCATGAACTCATTGACTGTTGGATTGAGGCATAGAAGTGGGTGTGGTCTGCCTATTCGCATTTCACGTGATTACTGTGACTAATGTTTGAAAACTTTCGGTGATAAGAATCCGTTACATTCATTCTTTGTCATTTTTTATGTCTAGAGTTTTGAATTTCTATGTTCTACTTCACGAATTCATTCTTTTTCGAATCATATTGTCTATGCCTAGTGTTTTCTAATACCACTAATACACTTTTACTACTTCTACTACTCTGGGCTTTGTCTTGATAGTTTCATCTTGTTTTACTAATGTTATGTGGCAACTTTGATCTATGAATATATGTGCTAAGTTCTGTGTTACATATGACAGGGCAGAGCTGACTGACTGGCTGACTTATTGATGATTAATTTTGAAGAAAATTTCTAGTATGAAAAGTCATAATCCAATAGAATTCAGTCATTTACTTTTCATCATTTTTTTCATCAAATATTTCAGATGAAATTACCCAGTAATTTAGGACAGAAAAAGACAAGAATCATTGAAAACTTCTTAGGTCATTTACAAATTGGTAAGTTTTAATGTTCTTATCAGTATAGGGTCGTTGAAGATTTTAAAGTTTTTAATTAAGATCATGACCACCATTGAAAACCTGTAAGCACTGGATGGCCGTTTCGTTCTAGTATGGAACTCTTCAGACGTGCTCATCCACGATTCCCCACGCGTGATTCCAACTTAGGACCTCAGGTCTCGTGGATGCATACCACTGAGGAGTACCATACTAGGATTAAACGGTCGTCCAGTGTTTAAAGGTTTTCAATCGTGATCTAACATTGATCTATTTATGATCTCAATTTATGTTTTTACTTGGATTAATAACCGTTCAAATTGTTTTAAGAGAATTTATATATTTATATGCTGTGTATTAAAATTGACTTGGCCAAGTTTCGTCACAGGGAAAATTAGGTAAATGTTTGTATTTCAGTAAAATTATGCTTTGGCAACAAACCAATGCGGTTCGAGCTAGACATTCTGTGATCAACTCTGTCTCATTGGTATGAATTATTTTTTTCTGGTTAGCGTTTTTTTTGCGAGTTAGTTTTCTACGGGATGGGGTCGCTAATCCCATGCCCAAACCTCCTCCTATATCTGGGCTTCGGACCGGCAGTAAGTCTGGAAAAGCTACAGGCGGAGTTACTTTGTCTCATAGTCTTTCTTATAAATGCTTACTCATGGTCTTAGTGTTGATTCTGAGGAAGTAGATTTCCTAGCGCAATTTCATATCACCTTTATCATTATGAAATTTATAGATTTACGACTTAAAGTCTGGTGAAAGATCAAATTCTTAACGAAATTACTCCAGGTTTTAGTCAAAAACAGAGGTAGTTAAACCAGACAAATATTTCATTGGTTATACGTACTCGTCGACCAATCAATTCTGTGATACTTCAGTTACAGTCCACGTAGTTTACCGGAGAAGTTTTTGACCGTGACACTGAGTGATGTCTGTTCGAATTTGGTGTGGGTTATCAGTTCCTACAAGTTTACAGATACTCCTTGTTGCGACGAGTACCAACTAACACATAACTTATGTGAAACGGCAGGGTCAGCTGTCGGTCGCTTCTAAACCATTCAGCAGTTATGCTTCTGACAACTTACGTCACTTTTACTGTAAGAAGAGACTCATTCACTGAATAAACAACGAGTCTACTGCTCACTAGTTCTCTCTGTTCTACTTTATGGGCATGAGATGTAATTTTTAAAAAATAGAGTATATTCATACGTTACTAGTATTCGATCGTAGGTGTCTTCGAACCATTGTTCATGTATTTCGCAGCCACCAGCTTAACAGTTCTGAGGTCAGACACAAAGCATTAAGCAATTATAGAAAATCGATTGACGAGCTAGTAAATCTTTATCAGATGCGATGGTTAGTTCATATATTACATATGCTCATCTAACGAATACATTGACGCGAGATGATGACGCGTGTAGTAGTAGGTTGGAAGATAGCTTGAAGTGGCCAGACCAATATATGATATCAGTCCATGAAAGACACCAACTGTTAAACTGAGCCGTGTACATAGGTACAGACCATCTAGTTGTGGTGGTCTATATTGTATTTAACTGATTGGGGTGTACTTGGTTCTTTTTTAATCAAATATAGTTATTCTTCTCTTTTTTGGTTGATTAGATATCGGTGAAATATTTTCATTTTTACAAATTTTCCAGATCCTAATCCACCGGCAACGGCAGAAATTGTTGAAGCATATAATGGTTTACGTTCAAAAATTCTACTTTTATTCGATTTACGTCTAGCTCTATTAAATTGTGACTTGGAACTACACTCAGCTCGGCTACGACTAGAAACATTTGCTCCTAATAAAGTAATTTTTGCCATCTTTTTTTCTGTTAGTCATAACGAGAGTGATTTCAAGTGTTGTTAGAGGTTTTATTTTATTTTATTTGGATACATAAATATTCATACTAGAGGGCACCAAATATATATGCGCCACACAAAACAATGAGGATTCGAAGAGAAAAAAAGGAACAATAACGAGCAGATTAGTGTAAAGTCGTGTAATGATAATAATAGTAATAATGGGGGAAACGGAAAGGTACAATGAGGAGAAATCTTTCAGTTAGGGAAGAAACAACCATTTTTTATGAAGAAAGTGAAAGAAGGTTACAGCAGGATCGCCATTGGCTTCTATTCTGAGCCATATCTGATAACGTCTCTAGCCACTGTGTAGCACCATCTCTCGAACCCCAACCAGGGAGTCGTGAAGGACCAACACAGGCCAGTCCTTTGCAGCTTTCTTTCATACCACGACACCATGTCATACACTGACCACCTCTCCGCTTTTTCCAACCATTCACAGAGTCGGCAAATAATGCACGACGTGGAATTCTCTGGGACAACATTCGTAGAACATGTCCAAGCCACCGAAGTCGGTGTTTCAAGATGGTGACACCGATTGCATTATCGTCTGCGTGCCCGAACACACAATGCTGAACCTCTGCATTACTGACCTGGTGTTGCCACTGGAGGTCAGCAATCCTTCGGAGACAACGGTGATCGAACACAGAGAGTCGTCTAACGTCCTCAACTCGGAGAGGCCAGGTTTCACAAGCATAGAGCAAACCTGCTCTTACCGACACGTTGTAGATCCGACCTTTTACAGCCAGACTAACATCACGAAGGCGCCGAAGGTGGACCAGATTGGCATAAGCCGCTCTGGCTTTCACTATACATGCATTAATCTCATCGCTCACGCCCCCACCAGCACTTATGCAGCTACCCAGGTACACGAACTTTTCGACTACTTCTATCTGCTCACCGTCCAGGGTGAGTGCAGGATTGGAATCCTGCCAGTCTTGTAGAAGTACTTTGTACTTCGAAGGTGCAAAGCACATACCATATAATGAAAATATAATGAAAAATGTTGTTAGAGGTTGGTGGACAGTTGTCGCTTTTCAGTTGATCATATTGTGATGGTTACTTCTGATTGTAAAACTTGAAAAGGTTACTGCATTAGTACTGATCTAGTCAATCTGGATGTATGCATTTTCTAGGTCTAACCCACAGGAAACAGATATCCATGTGACATCTTGAAGTGTGACTTTCAACTAAACAGACTATATCGAGGTAATTTGTTCATGATGCATATACGACAACAGGAATTCATCACTTACAGTCTTTTGTATCAACAACATGTGCTTAGATTAGATTGTTTCAACATATCACGAACTAAATACTTTCACACAATCAATTAGCTTCATTGAGCCTGATTACTGTAAATAAATAGATGTTGTTTAACAATTCAGTCAGTCAGTCAGTCAGTCAGTCAGTCAGTCAGTCAGTCAGTCAGTCAGTCAGTCAGTCAGTCAGTCAGTCAGTCAGTCAGTCAGTCAGTCAGTCAGTCAGTCAGTCAGTAACAACGTAGAACTTCGTACGTACGTACATCAGTTCGAGTTGCCACACCACATTAACACAGAGATGCAGTTGTCGATTCAAATCCCGTAGTTGTAGAGGCGGTAAGAGTATAAGCAGTAATCGGAAAGATTAGGGTTTTTTAACAAAGATAATCACTGAGTTCTATAACCTCTAGAGAACTTCAACTAGCAAGTTGGGATGAACTAGTGAATGTCATTCGTATACAGAACTATCTTTCATACTACGACTCCATATCATAAACTAATAATGTCAGTTTTCTCCATCCAGTTTCGGTATTGACATTTTTATGTGGAAGGTACTGAAACGATATACGTAAAGCATGTGCAGTCCACCAACATTGATGTTTCAGAATAGTTACAGTTGGTTGGTGCGGATCGATTTCACAAAAAATAATGGAGAGTAACTCTTACTAACTCATTGTATTCCTTAACGTACTAGCATAGAGAAATAACTTTTATCCTTGTAGACATACTTCCTGAGAAATATGTCTTTGTAGAATGTGATCAAGTTTTCAGTTACATGCAATCGTTAATCTTTAATCTCCTGGTTCATAATTGTGTATTTTAAGTTCTAGATTTTTTTGTATAGTTGAACGAAACGTTTCTTTTTTTTAATGTCTGATTTCCTCTTTTAGCCATTACCTTGTGGACTTGCTAGTCTTCCAAATCCTAGTATATCCGAATCACCTGAAGATTCTTATTATAATTTAATTGATCCATTGATTTTGTCAGCACTTCGTGTAGCCGATTCAAAACGCCCAATTCTACCGCGTCATTCACTTGGAGTTGCTGGTACATTGGCTGCGGCTGCTGGAAGTTTAGGTATGCATACTATGACTAGCGGAAGTAGTGGTATTCCACCTATGAATACAACAACGGAGAAATCAGATACAAAACAATGTCGATTAAACTCATCGTCTATCGTGAATTCTTCAGATAATGGACAGTATAATTCTAGTGGATTAACAACTACTCGATCATCTCCAGCATTGTCAGGAGGTGGTGGAGGCACTGGAAATCTAGACTCAGATAATTCATCATCAGCCGGAGATGGTATCGGTAGTTCACAACGTCGTAGAAGAGCAGCAGCTTTAGAACAAGGACGTGTTTTAAAGAAACTTAAAATTAAAGGACAACTTGTTGATTGAAACTGTTGTTTATGGAAAAACAAACAAAAATTCTTTGTTGTGTATGTGTACATAAAAATATTTATTCGATTGATCTCATTTGTTCTATCGTTTCAAAATGAAACAATTTCATAATAAATATTTTTTCCTTTACCATGTTCTTTGCTTAAAAGGTAATTCTCATTACCTAATTGATTTCAGTTAGGAAGAATGGTTACCAATTAGGAATCATTTAAAAACTGTTTTCCATACTAAACTGAACTCCGAACTTTCAGATTTACTAGAACCACCTCAAAATATCTTTTTATTCTTTAGTTAGGAAGTCAATATTGTTATTTTAGACAAAGTTTATGATAAACTGAATACATGTATTCCTCATACTACTACTTCTACTACTATTGCCCCCAAATGCCCTGGTACGGCCGAGAGTGGGGAGAGTTCGCTCTCCCTCTCGAAATGCTCTCACATGGCCACGCGTATATAGATTCTGCCAGGGAATTCCTACTCACTGCCTTCTAGTGGAGGGGTTGTTGTTTACGAAATTGAGAGGACGAAAAGCGAATGTCCGGGGATTTATCTGGGTTGGTCAATATGGTGAGTCCGTCTAGGGGAATTGGAAAACCCTCATTCCAAACCAATGGTGCACATCGGCTCCAGTATCCTGAAGGAACAAATGGCGTATGAACTAATCGTTGGTCACCGGCTACCATGGGAATTCATCTCCTTACGATACTCCACTGTCTTGTGGATGAAACCTCCAGGTCGAAGGTTCCGGGTGTGGCTTCCTAAGAAAACCACCTGCTTCGGTTTGGGCACCTGGACAGTATCACAGCCCTCACACATATCAAATGAGATTTGTGTGGCGCATATGTATTTGGTGCCTCCTTGTACCAATGTTTGTGTTAAAATAAATAATAAATCTACTAGTATTACTAATGAAAGAGAGCACAGGTCAAGACAACCGAAAACCCAACAAAAAATTACAGAGCGTCTCGGTAATATATAAGAATCATACATGAAATACTTCATTATCACGTTTCCATCATTTGTCTTTAATATTCTGTATAATTCTTCTGATTCACAATTTCTAATTCCATTTCCTTAAAGTCGACCTTCGTGGCATTCTCTTGCCAGGTTTTCCACTTCCGATTGGAGTTAGATAGTACTTGTGTCTGTCGGTGCCATTGCGTTATCCACTTAGCTACTGAGCCACTTGCTTGTGTAATGGGGTGAATTTTAAATTCATCTGGTATTGTGTACTTGAATCTTCCCATTGACGTTTAGGACTGCAATTGATCAGTCTGTTATCGGAATATGTGCATACTGTGCGTATGCCTCGATATTGCCTTAATTCACAAGTATTCTAAGCAAAGATGGATAATGGCTATCAGTGGAATCCAGGATGCGCGTTTCGTCCTATTTGGGACTCATCAGCTGGATGCAGCTGCATCTTAGAGTTGATGTTCACTGCAGGACTCCAACTCAGTACTGTTTGCCTCAAGTGCCATCGCGTTATCGACTTAGCTTTTGAGTCCTTATATCCACCTGCTTATATAAACAGGACGATACGCGCATCCTGGATTGCACTGTTAGCCATTATCCATCTTTGCTTAGAATACTTGTGAATTAAGGTAATATCGTGGTAATATGCACATTTGCCAATAAGAGACTGATCAATTGCAGTCCTAAACACCAAGTCGATTCATAGCACTGTTTATTATCTGCCGTAGTTGTGAAAGTAATTAAATAGTCTAATTATAAATATAGCTGCTAGAATTGTGTGGTTTTTATTTGCCGTATCATTCAACTCGATAGAACTAAAAAAAAGGATTCCATAGTAACTAAAATCTGAATGTTACTAAGGATCGCCAGCTAATGATGCTTAGCGTTAAGAACACTATAGGCAGATAGTTTAGATAACTGGGACCAACAGTTGGTAACTTAATAAATCGGTATAATTTCTGGATCTCATCAAGTGAAATATTTTTCCCCTATATTAGCTAGTAATTCAATTCATGGTAGACGGTAGTTCAATACGTGACATATACCTAAGGCATATATATATGATAATGTAGGACTTAAATTGATAGATGCTCTCTGTACTGATACTAAATTGTTGGCTATCAGCTTATCAGGATTGATAGCATGATGTAAATAATTGAGTTGGTCAATGCATTCAACTGCTTCATTTATCACAGATTGAAATCATGAGTCAGTTGAAGCTAGACCACCATTGAAAACCTGGGAGCACTGGACGGCCGTCTCGTCCTGGTATGGGACTCCTCAGCAGTGCGCATCCACGAACCCGCACCACCCGGGGCTCGAACCCAGGACCTACTGGCTTCGCGCGCGAGCACTTAACTATTAGACCAATGAGCCGGCATCCAACGGTGTTAATGTCTAACTTCAACCAATCCACGAAGTTGCGCTACCGTACACCATTGTCTTCAGTGAGTTGATATCCTACAACATTTATCATTGATTAACCCGATTATAGACCAATGGTATAATGATGTTTCTCATTTGAGATTTATGTTTGGTGAACTCGTATACAGTTTACGTTAGACAAATCACTGCTCACCATAATTAACCAATCATAAGGATCTACCATTCACTTTAAGCTATGGCCTCAGAATCTGTTAAGGATGCAGAGGAATATACCAATAATTATCATGTTAAGTCTAACGGTGACCTTGGACTTTAAATGTACACTCCCTATTGGTCGATATTTGTTTCACTTGTTGAATATTGTACAAAATGTTGTTTTCTATTTTATGGTACGATGTGGTCTGCTTGATTAGTATATAAACAGAGTGTTTGAAATATAATGGTTCATATCTCAGAGGCTAAGACTTATGTTCTGGACTCAACTGGCTGGGTTAGACAGCGAAGCAGGGTCAATCCAGAACTCTAGGTCGTTCATTGCGTGTTTACGTGTCACTGAATCGATCGATAAATATGCTGCGCATCTAACCTGCAATCCGACCCGTTACAACGGAATCATAGATACCTTTAAAGGAGTATCTGCTGTACTGTACTCATCCATGTGGTTAATATATTAAGTCATTTAAAGTTTTGGTGAGATAATCACATTCAGTGAGTTCATGACCTAAGTATGAAGTAAACATGTTACAACTCATTCACAGTGTACGAAATACAATTATAGAAAGGGTTTCCAGTATTTTCTACAGAAAAAAAAGACTTGGATCTTACATGTTGATTCACAACATTAATATTATTATTCATAGCTGAATTTTAACCTTTTGGTGTTTCATAGATTCTATACGTAGTTTATTCAACTTCAAAATAAATTGAGGGAATAAAAATGTTAGTTGACAAACTCCTAGATGTATTCATCATATCCAATCCAAACTACTCAGTAATTTATTTATTTATCTATCATTTTATACAAAACATTTCTAGAAGTAGACATTCACTTGATGTCGCTTTACTTGTATCTTCCCATTGTTATTTAAAACTTCAAATGATTCCACTGTTAGTCACAATCCATCTTTGCTTAAAAAGCTTGTGACTTAAGGCTATATCAAGGCAATCCGCACATATGCCAACATGAGACTCATCAATTGCACTCGTAAATAACAATGGAAAGATACAAGTAAAACAACATCAAGTGAATCCATGACGTATCAGTCTAGCACGGCGAATGCTTAACCTTTAGACTACTGAGCCGATATCCAACGGTGTTAATGTCTTACTTCAACCAATCCACGTTATATATATATATATATATATATATATATATATATATATATATATATATATATATATATATAATGAGATTCTTAACGAAGTTATGGAATATGTCTCAGAAGAATCAAATCCTGATGACCTCAGATCAAATGTTGTTCATCCTCAACATTTAGTCACTTCCAATGAAATCTCTATTCAATGCGAGAAATATGTTTTAAATAAAGTCACATTAATTGTAACTTGGATATATGAGGATCCAAAATCATTTCGCGGGGGAAGAAAATGCTGGAGAATCTAAAGTTATATATAATTATTAAAAAAAATTCAGGATCTAAACTTCGAATCTTCAAAAAAGGGGGAGGTGTTATATCCTAATGGAGATTAAATTACGGATAACTTCTGAGGACTATTAATGGACTAATATTACACATATATATTCCTATTTTATAACTACTCAGTAATTAGATTATGTATATTTATATTCCTTTAATTATAAGCTTTATTTTGATCTAGACACTATTATGTTACGATTTAATATTCTTAAGTTATGTTCAGTTTATTGATTACAGTCTCTCACAATCACAGCCATTTTGGGCTTGATTTTGTACAAACGTTATTTCCTGTTTTATGGTGTAATGTGGTCTGTTTGGTTGGTATATAAACCCAGTATGTTTAAAATAAAAGATTTGCAGAATAGAAGCTGTCATCGGTGTTCTAGACTCAACTGGACGGGCTAGGCGAACAAAGGAACCAATAAAGATGCTAGGTTGCTCATTTTGGTCAAATATCATCGGTTTGGTACAGTGCCAATATTTGTAAAAGTCATATTTCAATTGACAAATAAATCAAGTGGTAACTAGCCGAGTTTAAAGTTACCACAAAAACATTTATGTATGTATATCAATCTTCAATAAAAACTGTTTAAAATCTTTAGAAAGAAAAAAAAGAAAACTCTGATGACTACAAAATGGGATCGCCCCCAAATGCCCTGGTACGGTCGAGATTATGAAGAGTCACCTCTTCCTCTCCAAATGCTCTCACATGGCCACGTGTATACAACCACTATCAGGGAAGTCCTACCTGATAAGTCTTGTCGATCGAACGCTATATTCGTTTTCCTAAGCTATTCTGGTAACCCACAGACTACAACTACACAGTGACTTGAACACCAGAGAGAAGACACAAGTATGAGAGAAAATACTTTATCCCAAGGTTCATTGTTCTACAGAAAGCATGGGTATTTATAGATGTTAACGTTTGTTAAATCAATATCATATTTCAGCCAATCCATTAACGACATATTATGCTACTGACCAATAGTAGCACGCCACATTGGAATTCTAGAATGCTCCATCGTGCTGTGATTGGCTAGGACTTTTCGGCTCCTTTTGAGCCTCTGGAGGCTCCGTTGAAGTTCTCCGAAAGCCAACTCAACACTACCC